AGAAGAAAAAGTTTTTTATGTTTAATTGTGATTCTAATGATTGTTGTTGATGGTTTAGTTGTTTAGAAATGATTGAATTCACTTTGCTACTTGATTCTTTCAATTCTTTCACAAACAATTTACTTCAACAAGTTTTTTTGAGAGAGAGAAGGAGCTGAGTGAGAATATAACACTCATTCATCTTCTCACTTGTCTCTTTCTTTCTTTCTTTCTTTCTTTCTTTTCCTCTCTTTCTTATCTTCATACTCTCTTTTCACAAATTTAAAGGTGTCACAGTGAAAAAAGAAAGAGCTGAAAGAAGAGAGAGAAAGAGAGGCGGAGAGAAGAGGAAGAGAGAGAGAGAGAGAGAGAGAGAGAGTCTAAAACTGTCAAGGTAGAGGGAGTTAGAATGAGGGAGATAATGATGATGAAAATAATGATAGAGAGGGAGAAGAGAATGATGAAAAGGAGAGTGAAAATGAAAGAGAGAGAGAGAGAGAGAGAGAGAGAGAGAGAGAGAGAGAGCTGATAAAATAGAAAGAGAATAAATTGTGTTCGAGTCTAAAATTCTTGGAGAAAAAAAAAGTTCTGAATCGATGAAATTGATCATGATGATAATCAAGATGAAGATTAATTAATGATTCGTCTTTTAACTAATTCCAATCAAGTTAATTAATTGTTCAGGTCACTGTTCGGTTCAAAGTTCTCGATTTTATTTATTCAGCTATGGTTTCAATCAAGTGTGTTAAATGGTTAATTAACTAATAGCTCTAAATGAACTTGATTATTGGAGTCAACACTAATCAAGACACGAAAGAATCAGCAAAACATCAGAAACTAAATTAGTAAACAATTAACACAGAGAAAACACCAAACAAAAAGCTAAAAAATCATCTTAATTGTCAATGAAAAAGTTGATAATCAGCTAATCATCAAGGTACTTTGTTCAAGCCTCTAAAAGTTACATAATTAATTGATCTCAATGAATTAACAGATATCATCAATGAATAGTAATTAATGTGAATACCCAAAGAGATTATTATAAATACACAAAAATATGATGACAATTAAATCATTAATCAAATCAATGAGAAAAAAAAAATTTGTCATCAAAACGTAATAAATATAAATGATTACCTACAATGGAAAACAATTAAATTAAAGTGTTAATCATGAAAATCTAATTTTACCTCAATCAATGGAGAGATCATGTTGTTAACTTATGTAGAGAAAAATAAATCCAGTAGTAAACAATTAAGAATAGACAATCAACTAATTGTCACCAGTGGAAAATGAAAGATCTTTGTGATATCATGGTGATTCGTATCTCTAATATTACATGAGTGTATCAATTAACAATAACACAATCAGATAACAATTAATTCATCTGTTGATGGAATATGAATCAAGGATGAAACAATGAATTATGATTACAGGAATTTAGGAATAATAGAAAATTGGACTTCCCGGTGTAATAATAATCTTCATGGTGATTCAGTTAATTTCACAGTTTTCACCTTCAAATCTGAACTTCTTATTGTTTGCATAATATAAAATATTCCGATTGTTACATGTTATCCGAATACATAATAGTTTCTATGTAATTTTCTTGTCTTTTTCTTGCCCTTGGCTGTTGATCAGTTAATTGTGATTCTTAATTATGACATTCGGAAATAAACTAATCAAAAATGATTACGGAATTGTTTTTGTTTCTTCTTTCAATTAGATTCGATTCTTATTTCTTTTCATCGTCTTCTCAATCAACTCAATCAATCAATTCCAATTCTATTATTATTATTGATAAAATCTTCCTATTAATTCAATTCCCCTGCTGATTTATCTTATTCAATTCCATTGTACCAATTAAATTGTTCATTAATCATATATATATACACCTGAAAACTGAAGACTGTGATTTAGATTAAATTGTAAACAATCAACTCACAATAATGTCCAATGTTAATCAGTTAGTCTATTGTTGATTAGACTTAGATAATTAAAAATAAATGATTACTTACTTGTCTTTTATGGTATCCAATTGATTTGATTGTTTGCTCATTCATTTGATCACTTTGGTGGACACAATTAGAAACACTTGACCAGTATGGAAAGTGGAAAATAACTGGAAAATGTTGATGATATTTGATGTGTTTAGATGATTCTAGAGATGGTCAATGTGGTCAAGAAGAAGAGACGAAAGTTTTTTTTCGAATGTGAAAACAAAAAGTTTGACCATCTAACTGTTGTTTGATTGGTCAAGGAAATAATTTAGCACTCAAATTGGTGAAAAAAAAAGTCTCGTTCTTGTATTGGAATAGCAAAAGATATGTAATTTCGTATACAGAGATAAATATAATACAAAGAGTATCCGTTTTACTTTGCCTTAGGGGTAAAGGTGATGAGAATGAGGATGTGGGACAAGTTAAAGATGATGGTCACTTACCTTTGGTCATTTCTCTCCTCTTGGATTGGTCATTGGTAAAATTGAAGACCAGAAAGATGACCAAATGTTTTGCTGAAAGGTTTTCGTTAGCTCTCTCTCTCTCTCTCTCTCTATGTACCTCTGGCGTCTTCAGTTAATCACAGTAGTTAATCATTAGTTAGAGATGGAGAGGAAGAAGATAAAGATGATGAGAGAAAGAGAAAAATGAAAGAGATGATAATTTTAACCTTTTCTCTTTCATTTTGCTCTTTCTATTTACCTTTTTTGTTCTAGTCTCTTCTCCATCTTCCCCAACCATTAGTGTCTAATGTTTTCATCGCCATTTTGTTAGAAACTTGGTTATCAATGTTTACCTGGTTTCTATTTGTTCACATTGTTTTTTAATTGTTTTTCTTTTCTTCATCAATTATATCTTCCATTAGAAATTAATTGAAATATTACAATGTATACGAATATTGGATTAGCAATTAGCAGAAAAATTGATTCAAATTCTCATTTTAATTGTCTAATCAACCCAAAGATTAATCAATTGTTTCCATTTTTCTCTTTTTAATTTAGTTTCTGTGTTCATTGTTTCAATCTCATTCTCTTGTCAATGTCCCAACTAATTGTTGTTGATTGTTGTGTGAATTTGGTGATCACTGAATCACCACCAACAATTAAAGTGTCATTATTGTTAATTCAGTGTTTTTATCGTTAGTTGTTAGCAGTTGATGTATCGGTTTAACCCTGTTGATTGAAAGGTAAATTAAGATAATCAAGATTAATCACAAATTAAGTGTAATAATCTGTATGTGATTGTGATTGTGTATCTTTATATTATTATCAATAACCTGATCAACTAATGAAATTAAAGGTTAAATTGATCGAGTGGTTAATTTGTTGATTAGTTTTCAACGTATTGATAATGAAAAACAAAAGGCAACAATCAAAGGTAATCAGTAAATTGTAATCAAAAAGACAATATAAACTTTTCATGGTTAATTGATCAAGTTGAAGTGAAATTTGCAATATTTAACTTTTATTGAAATTCTTACAATTTAATAGAGCCTAATTACAACTTTTAAATTGTTACTCGAATGATAAAAAAATTAGTAAATTGTAATATAGTTAATTGATTATCTATCATTCAATTTAACGGTCAAATCTAATATGTATCTGATTAGCAATAAACATCAATGATTAACTTTGATTGTTTTTTCAATTCAACTCATGTATTGAATACTATCAACTGGATAATTTAGTTATAATTGTTAATCAACATAGACAAAATTTGATTGTAATTAAAGTAACATGAAATTTGAGATAATCAATTGTAATTAAAGGAGGAAAATCAAATCCATATTGATTGAAAAGTAACATGATTAACTTTGGTTTTTCTGATTAATTTGTAATTGATTCAAATTGGATGCTAACTAATCAATGTCACTAATCAACAATTTAAATAAGATGGTTACTTGACATTTACCTTAATTTGATTACGTAGTTGATTAAATAAATGCGATGAGACGATGATTTATTTTACTATTAACAATCAAAAGTAATTATTGTGAACAATTTGAATCTGGTTGATCACTGAAAGTAAATGATTGTTGTTACTTTTTGATGATCATTTTAATTGTTGGACTGACCAATTGTTCCTGATTTGTATTGTCATTTCAATCCATGTTAATGGTGATAATCATTAAAGCTCATTATTATCATGATGATTATTATGATAATAATAATAATCACCAAACTGTTAATCAAGTCACTCAGATTATCAGTTTCCATTTGTCTTTCATTTCGTTGATTGTGTTGAATATGAAACTCATCGTATATATTTTACCATGTTTTTCATTTAATTTCATCTCAAATTCCCGGATTATTGTTAATCATCATTATGATTATTGTGATTAAAATGATGATTAAAACAGAAAAGTAAAATAGATAAACAGGGCGTCGGTGATTGAAGCTTCCTGAATTCCGAAAGAAATTCATTGAGATCTGTTACTATCATCATGATTAACCATCATCATCATCATGTATCTGCTTGGATATTGTATTACAACAATCAATAAACTACAAAAACCAGAAAATCATTAACAGTATATAATTATAATCAACAATTATATTGTTATTTAGGCCGAAAGAAAAGTTTACCTGGACAGAAAAGTTAATTTCAAATTAGCCGGTTTTTTGTTTGGTGCTTTTTGATTGTTGTTGTCATTTAATCATAAATATAGGGATTAGGAAAGTAAATCAGTTAACTAATTACATTATAAAATCCATGTTAATTAGTGATTTAGTTTTATCCAAGGAAAATAAACTGATCATCAAAACGATATAAATACAATTAACATTATTCAACTACCTTTTTGATTGACCTGAATGTGAAAATTGAAAAATTAACTCTCATCAACAATGATTTGGTTAATATTCTGATTTGATTAACTTTTAATTTTTCTTTTCTACTCATGTAATTAACTTATTGATTAAGATTTAATGAGACATAAACAAATCAAAAGGAGAAAGTGAACAGAAAAAAAAACAGATTCAAATCTAATTCAAATCAACTAATTAAGGAGAAATTGTTGAATATAAGTAAAAGTCATGCAAAGTTTTAATTGTTTGACAATTTCCTCCTCGAATATACTACAATTTAATAACATATATTGAAAGAGTATTTGTTCAATTACAATTTAGAGTGTAAATTGTTAAAATCAATACAATCAACAATTTACAAGTTACAACGAAATATTAGTTTACAATCGTTTCGGTATAATACCAATAACGATGCTGATTGTTATCGTCATATGATCAGCACAATTTCACCAAAACAAAGTAAAAATGGGAGAAAATCAATAACATACAATTGATTAATTGTGACAATCATTTAAAAGATAATTATAATCAACAGAGAACAGGAAAATAGATGTGCCAGCAATTTCGATTAGTACTTTCAATCAGAATCACAATTTCGATTGGTTTGTCATGAGATATTAAGAGTAACAATCATGATTCCAATTATCAGCAATTATGTTAACCATGTTTTCCAGTTAATCAGGATCATTATTAATTTTAATTCCTCCAGTGTAATGATTATGAGCCTATGAGAAAATGAATACAATTAGTTTACATATTTATGAGGATGATTAATAAATTTTTCCAATAACAAAATCAATCCATTTTGTATCATAATAATTACAATTGTTATCTAATATAAACAACCAATTAAGTGAGGAATCAAAGTTAATTCTGATTCAATTTGAATTGTTCATGTTATTATATTCAAATTACATAATAAATAAGTTAATCATCTGTAATCAAAGTAATTAATTGTTATTGTCATGATAATTTTGACAGGAATCGCGATTCAATGAGGATTCAATGTTAATCATTTTTTTTTTCCTGTTACAATTACATATTTGGTTGATTTTTCATAATTACTTGTCACATTACAATTAACTAAATTTACAATCTAATTGTTTGTTAACCATAATAACTTGACCATTGTGATAATCAAAAGTTGTATCTACGTAGCTTTAATTTTCAAGGTTCATCTTTGGTAAATAATATAAATTAACTCAACCTAACCAATGAAAGTTTTCAGAATTTCATTCAAATTTTCAATTAATATTTTTCGCTCATTCCTGTGATTCTGAGAATCAAATTATCATGAAAATTTCAAACAACAATAGAGAAAGAAAATCAGAATAAATTGCTCAGGTAAGAGGAACAGGTACTTCCCATAGGGAACATGATGATGATGATGATAATCGTCATCATCATCTCCTTTTCTTTACAATTAATAATCATTCTCGTTATTCAATCACCAGTTTCTTTTCAATTATGTATTAACCATAATAACGATGGTGATTGTTTCCTTTTCAGTTTCACAGAAAATAATGAACAATTGAAATAAAGAGAGTCCAATGGTTCCATGTTATATATATTCATTTACCTGTGAGGATGAAAAGGAACACAATCTATTAATTGTTCAAAGACAAAGGTTACTGATTTAGTTTTAATGGTAACATCATCTCTCATCCTTTTCCATCCTCTATCTATGGGATATACACAATGTCGACGGCATCGACTCATACATACAGGTAAATACAAGGTGGAAAATGATAATTACCTAAAATGATTTATCCTCTGATCGCTTAACCATAAACCTCTTTATTTCTCTGATTCTCTAGAACAAAGGGAAACCATTGAATTTAGAGGAAAAAAAAATAATATTAGAAAACAATATGAATATGAATTAGAAAAGAAATTAAAAAGTTGGTGGATTCCCTTTTCCATCAGATTTTCGTTGTGACGAGGCGTGAGTTTTATATGTGTGTGAGTGTATTGGTGAAGCTTAATTTAAGTGATTCAAATTAAGGATAATTAAGGGGAAAAAGGAGTCATTAATGTTTGATTAGTATCATTCTTAAATATTGATAAACATTAACAATTTAGTGAAGGATAAAACAATGGACCTGGAATTGTGTGTGTGTGTGTGTGTCTATTGAGTGTAAAACAAATACCTTGATTCACACAAGATTGGATATCCATTGGTCTGTGGTGATGTTATACCAACGATTGATTGATGGTTAGCCCTTTTTTTTTATTGATTGATTGGTTGATTGGTTGTCTATTTACCATTGTATTGTAAGCTGATGGGGCTTGATTTAGATCTCTGGTCATCAAAATCAAATTAAATCACATTTTGAAACGAAAGACTTGTTGCCTAATGGAGAGAGAAAAGTAAATTGTGTCTCCTGTTATGTTAATAGAGAAAAAGTGGAAACAATGGAACAAGAGAAAAGGTTAATTGCGTTGTAACTAATCAAGTTTCAGAATAATTGGAAGATAATTAATGTATCACATGGTATATGGAATAGAATAGATAATTTTGGCTAATTAATTGAAAGTAATTAACTTACCAGATACAAAGAAGCGAAGATAATTATGATGATGATTGGACGTTGTTGCCCTAAAGTATCAACACCCAATGTCCAATATGTACAATCGAGTTGATTGTTGACTTGATTAAATGTGAACAATCAATTAAGAGATACAAGAAGATGGAACATGTTGACAATTAAGAAATGATTAAAATAGAAATGGTGACCAATTAACTAATCACTTGAAGGCCAAGTGAAATGAGATGAAATCGTTAATCTAATGATGTTTTTTACTTTCCTATGGGGAGAGATGGAGTTAATCAACTTTGGATTTAATTAGAATTTATTTTAATTGTGATTACCTTTTTTTTATGCCCGCAGTTAATTATGTTCTTATGGTAAGTAAATTGTCAGATTTAAGCGTTAATTTTGATGCAAGATAATTAGTAAGTTAATTTGATTAGTTTTTCAGTGTTCATATTGTCGATCATAAAAGTGAACAATTAACAGTGAAAACCTTGAATTAGTTAATTTTTACCTGGAAATGAGGTTGATTAGGTTAATTGATGTGTTAATCAGTGTGTTGTTTGTGTCCGTTTACCTTTTTTGATAATATAATTAAGCTAAATTTAGTTAACTCTATTGTTTCCGGTGACAATGGATTGTGATAAACTTGAAGTTACAATTAACTTTTCAATGAAAATTGTTGAGAAAAAAATAACAATTTAACTCAATCATCAATTCTGAAAATACAATCAAAGGTTTAATTGTAATCATCGAAATCACAATTGAACAGTTAAGATATAAACAAAAAATTGATTCAATCAATGCAAAAGAAACACAATTAAGTTAAATCATTACCAATCAATGAGCAGCAAAAAAAGTTATCCAACAATTAGTTAATAACAATTTGAGCAGAAATATAATTAACTTGACAAAATATTAATATAATTTTTTCATTTCCATCAACCTTGGCAATTAAATCAAATTTTTAATTCTGATTCAATGTTAATTGTTAATAATAGTTTGTTTTTTTTATTTATTCCGGTAACGTATTGATAATTAGTAATTTAAAATGATTAGTTAATCAATGGTTAATTGTACTCATCATATTGTTGGTTAATTAATTGAATTTACAATTTTTTTTTCGGTTGTTCAATTTTACTTGATTACTTCATTATCATTGTAAGTTAATTGTGTTTAAATTAACGAGAGAAAATTAAATTTCAACTAATCAAACCTTGATTATGATTCACGTTGATTGTTGGTTAAGGTTAAGGTTTAAATTATTGATAAATTGTTGATGGTTAAATGATAACAATGGTTAAATTAAATGATATGGAAACAATTTATAGTCTTAATTTTGTTTTAATTCCTAATTGACAAATCAATGTAATTTCCTTACAATTAAGGACAAAATAATCAATATTATTGATCAATATGAAACGTTTTTCGTTAATCATTTACCTTGTAATCAAATTAATCGTCTGTTAGTTTATTAATTTGATTTAATTTGTGTGAGTTTGCTTTTGCTGATTAAAGATTTTCAATTTTGTCTGTTTGATTTATTAATTGTTGTGATTAACATGATTACAATTGAATGGTTTACTTAATTGGGAACAAGGTTTTACCATAATTTATTAGATTATAAACATAATCATGATTTAACCTGATTGTTGATTTTAATTGTCTATTAATATCACATGTGATAATTACCATTTACCCTTTTAGCTTAAGTTAATTGTTGATGATTAACTTGAATCATTTGTGTGTATTTACCCAATCACAATCAATTAATCAATTAGTTTATGATACTTTTTTATGATTATCATTAACAAGAGTACGTTTAATTGTTGTACTAATCAACAACGGAAGTAAATTTTGATCATCTCTTTTTCAATTAACCGTTACAATTAACTCTTTCTTCACTATGTGTAAGTTTACAATTAGTAAATTGTTTAAACATAACCTTGACTAATTACAAGTGATTTAATCTAATTGATTTACATTGGTTAATAACCATGAGCTTGATTGTTGTTGATAACTTGATAAGTGAAGGTTAAAAAGTGATTAAAGGTAAACACAATTTAAAAAAAAAAGAGACAATTGATTAACTTAAAATCAATTGATTTTGATTAATTTGAAATAATCCAATGACAAAAAGAAATGATTAATTAATTGTCATAATTAATTGTGATACTGGACAATGATTGTTGTTGACCAAATGATTTACTTGAAAACTAAAGTTTTTAAATTGTTGTCGTAAATCAAATTAGTTGTTAATTTGTTAACAATTTGTGACAAGTTTATTATGATTAAGTTAATTGTTTATTATGTATTTACATTTATGATTAAAACTTAAATTCACATTAATAAATTAATTGTGATTTTATTATTATTATTGATTTAGTGGTGAAAATGTTTTCATGACAATTAACTGAAAAATAATAACAACAATTAAGCTAAATTATTGAGTCATTCAAAATATTTGGCTTAGTTTAATTACAATGATTACAATTTTTAATTGTTACAAGAATTAAAGTTCAACAAGAGATTAACTTTCACGAAAAGTAAATTGTTAATTCAATAAAGTTAATTGAAAGTTTTCAAACAATTAAACCAACAATCAGTTTAATAAAATTAAACCTATGGTAATGAATGATTTAAATGAATCTCAATGAACTTTCATCAACAACAATTAAAAGTTAAATACTAATTAACTTAATCATCGGGTTGATAGCTCAAGAGTCTATGGTTAAATTTAATTGTAAATCAATTGTTAACAATCAGATTGATTGAGAAAACAAAAGCCACACAATAGTTACAATCACCAACTGTGAATTATTATTAATCATTAATTGTTGTTAACAATTTAAACAATAAGTTAAATTGTGAAAGGTTTACCCCGATCCTTGAGGTTAAAAACTTTCAGCACAATTTAAATTATCATCGCTATTTATTATTAGATAATTAAGGTTTCCAACATTTTGAAGGTAAATTGTTGTGAAAAAAAAAGTTAATTGTCAGATGATTAATTTGAATTAACTATTGATTGTTAAGGAGGAAGATGTTTCAATATACAAATAGTAAATTATATTATATTTAATTCACTTGATTGTAATTGAATAATATTTGATAATATTATGTGTGTTTCCATCATCATGATTGTAATTACAATTGGTTAAGGTTAAATTGTTGCTCTTCAATTGATCATTATTGAGGGTCATTTACCAATCAGTTGTGTTTAGTTAATTTAAATTAAACACAATCAATGATAGAAATTAACAAATGATTATCATTCATTTTTTTTCCTTCTTTTGTTCATCATCATGATTATTATATTATCTTCCTGTTAGTGTTTATCTTGGTGTTAATGGTCAAGTCTTGGTTTTGTTGTGACCAGTTGAGAATAACAATCAACTAATTGTTTGGATTATCAAGTAGAAAAGGAACATGTAAGCCACTTGATTACTTTCGCAATTTAGTTAATTGTCATTTGTTTTTACTTTTCGACCTTCATTAATTTTGGAAACTTTTTCCAATCAGTTATCTTTTTTTCTGTTATTATTTCTACTGGTCACTTAACACTCGGACTTTGCTAAAGCGTCATCGTGATAGTGATTAGGTTAATTTGATTGATTCTAATATTTTGATTGTTGTTCTTGATTCGTGTTTTTGTTTAATCAGTTGATTATTTTATTGTTTTCTTTCTGGAGAAATTGAAATGTCGCATAGAAATTTTATCAAGTCTTTTCTTAGTATTCCAATGATCGGTTATTAATTCAATCAACTAATCATTCAAAAATAAAACAAAGTTTGTTTTGATTGTTTACGTGATGATAAATTGGTTGTTTTATGATGATTTAAAGCTCAAATTTTCCCGGTTATTATGTGACAATTCAACAAGAAATTTAATTCCTGGGGGCATTTGGGCAGTGGAAGGGAAAGAAAATGCTTTCTTCCTTGTACTTTAGACTTTTTTTAAAATCGATTATTAAAAAAATGAATTCTCAAGCCAAACATTCAGTTTGAGGGGGAAATTGAGAGAATCCGTTGTAAGAAAATAAGGTGACAATTCAATTGAGTTTTCCATTCATCTTTTCTTGAAACTATTCAGTTTTGTTAAATGCTTTCATGAGAGGAGGTGGATGACTGTTTGTGTGAATGGTTTTCAGCTGAAAAAGTTAAACTTAAGCGATAGTTAAACAATTACAATGGCTTTAGATGTGTTCATGTAGATGATGATAATGTTGACGTGATGATGAGGATGATGACAGTCTTGGAAACAGCCATTGAGTTGTTAAGTGATTAAGATACCAATTTGTTGGTTGCGAAGGGACTGGAAAGAGAGAGACAAAGACAAAGACAAAGACAAGAGAGCGGGAGTTCACTTTTATGGTTCATGTTTGACTATTTAAGCCCCTTAAGGCATCACGTGGAGAATAATGACATTTTCGTGTAAACATTTTGAGTGTGTGGGATTCGTGGATCGTGAAGTGAGAGGTCCGTTTCATGATCGATAAATATTTATGAAGATATTTACATAGGTCTTTTTTTTTACAAAATATCGAATAGGCGGAAACAGTTTAGATGGAGAGTAATGAATAATAAAAAGATTTGGTTTTGTTCAACAGGCTGGTGTTTTACTCTATCCCAGCTTTTAACTAGAGTAAAACTGTCACCAGAAATTTGGGTGAGGATTAAACTCAACAGAATAGATAAAATCGGCAATTGGTTGCTCCGCATTTACAGAGAATGCGGCTGGACGATGCCGAGGTGTTTAAACGGGAGAATGTGGGTGTTTTTAATTCCCCTTCTCCATTGGGTAAAATGGGTTCGGCAGCTTCATCGGGGATATTTTCAATATCAGAATCATGATAAGATTCGGTTGCAGAGTTTGATCCAGCATCTTCATCATCTGAATCATTCTTAATTGAAGAATTGGATGCTTCTGATCGAACCAAATTGATTGATAACATGTATTCAAATTTTTTCTTCTCTTCTGCTGATAAGTTTTTATTGTGTTTTAATTGATCTAAAAGTCGTTGTTTTGTACTTTGTTTAGAACCAACATCTAGATAATTGGAGACAAAAAAAAAGTAAACAAAAACAAAAACAATAACATTATTATTATTATTAGAGAAAAATTGATTCTATTGACAATAATAATCAGTAAATTACCTGACATATGATAATCAAATGTTAATTCCTCTCCGGGTCGTATATTTCTCTTGGAGAAAAATGCTATCCTAGGAAGATTTGTATTATAATTATCAATCCATGCTGCATAAACAGCTAAATTGGGATCACACTGAAAGAGAAAAATTAATCATCTTTGTTAAAAAATTGATTGATTAATTGTGTAAAATTAGAAAACAATATGAAAGGCACAATATGGGAGGTGTATACATTAAGCGAAAGAAAAGTGGAAGAAAGAATAATCCAATTTAAACTCACCGAGTGATTTATAAAATGAGCTACGTTACCATAATGAGAAGCATCTATTACATAAGCCCCTTCAGCTTCCGGATTGAAATCAAGATCAAAAAGATAATTCTTTCCTTCAACAGAATATGTTTTCTCTCGTTTTTCCGCCTCTTCAACTGTAATTATTTCTCCAACATACTCGGTGACAAATTGTCCTTTTGGAATAGTAGATAAAGCTCTAACCCCCCATCCACAATCATTATCTGTTCTGAAAATAGATAATCTGTGCTGTAAAGAAAAAGAGAGAAGAAAATAATTGTTATTAATATTGTGCCTTGGAGAGAGAGAGATTGAAGTTTATCTTGGATATTTTGGTTCTTTTGAGATTGTGAGAGGGTAAAAAGTAAATATTTACCTTTCGACCTTTTTGAATAACTCGATTGGCACAATCTTTGGAACATTTACATTTTTTATTGCATTCGAAGATCGGACGACGAGGTGGTAACCAAAGGCGACTATTCTTTGTGTATGCAAAAGTTGCATCATTATTTGCTGGGCAACATTTATCTTTGCTACTGTAACAATCATCGGTACATTCGCACCATAAGGGTGGATCTTCTTCCATAAATATTAAATTGGTATCAACTTGACACTTTGGTATGTAATTAAAGTTTGAAGGTGGACCTTCAAGATCAACAAGATTCTCAACATGAACCGGGACACCACATTCGCTAGTCTCTACTTTGGATAATTCTTTCTCCCATTTACGGATAGCATTAAGGGTATCCTTTCTTTTCTCGATAAAATTAGTTAAACCATTAAAATCACCAAATTCACGGGCAATTCCAAGCTTTTCAATTAAAAATTCAACCAAAGTTGCATAATTTTTGGCTGTTATATTGTCTTCAAAACAATTTAGTAAAGGTCCACATAGATCACGGATCTTGTCTTTTAGATTCTTGAAATGCGATTTGGTGTATCGATAATGAGATAATGGTGTATTGGTTAATTTGAGGATCACAGCTTCATCTGCAAACGATGAACTTATTATATTTTCAATTGTAGAACGGAATCGAATGAATGTATTATACTCAAGACATGAGCTTTTAGACGCTTTACGAGCCAAATGGAATTCTCGAAGTAGTAGAGTTGCACAAGTTAAATGTTCCAATGGTTCCCATGAATTGTAAATATCGTCCCAATCTTTCCATTTAATGAGATACAAGGGTTTTGAACTTGATAAATTCTTAGCATCCAAAATGGCTTCAACCTCCCAATGGTCGACTTTCTTCTTCTTCTTTTTACTGGCGCCATATTTAGCAGCAGAATTGTCTTCTTTTAACATGTCCCACATGAGTGGATCCACATGAATACCCTGTTGGAGGCATCGTTCCTTTAGGGTTGAAACCTCTTCAACGGCGAATATACTGAAACTGTTTTTCATTGCCTTCTTTTTCAGTATCTTTATCTCATCGAGGGTAAATTTCCGAGACAATTTGAGATCATATTTTTTCACAGGTTCAACTGGCTTGGGTTTAATAGGATCGCCTTCATCATTGGAAATACAAGTTTCACTGGGATTATTTTCAACGGTTTCCAAACATGATTCCATTTCTTTTTTTTTCTATAAAACACAAAAACACCGCTACTCAAACGTGTTGCTCTTCTCTAAACGATGATGGTTGCGGTTTAGATTATCACAATTTAGTTAAATTTTAAAAGAAAGAGCACAATTTTCCAGGCCCATTTGATTAGAGAAAAACATTTATTGTCAAAAATTGAAAAAAAAGAGCGAATATGAAAAAGTAAATATCGGCCCGAAAATACTGACAATTTGTTATTCTTGGATCCATATTCACTTTACTCAATTGATTGACCAATGAAAAATATCGGATATCAAATGGTAAAGATTCGTATCCATTCGGCGAACGCCATCTATCGATAATTAATCGCCTTTAGAACAAAAAAATTTTCCCGCTCTTCTTAATTATCTCAATCAATTTCCTTACGTAATCGATTCTAATGACAACAATTAGTAATTATTTTTCACTTTTTCCACTAAAATTAAATACAACAAATGTTCAATTGTAGAAATGATCTTCATATACTTACATTTAATCTCTCAATTGAGAAAAGTCACAATTTCCATCAATTGAAACGAAACGAAAAAAAAATTCTCAAAATTTGTAAACAAGTTAATCTCAGAATCAGAATTTGAATTGTAAATTTTTTAATTATCATGGAAAAGGAATTAAGTTTACTAATTAAAACAAGGAAAATAAAACAAACATTGAAATAGATTTTGTTTTCCAGCCAATGGTTCTCGATGGTTAGAAACTTGGAGAAAATTGAGTGAACAATCAAGTTAATTGAAACGTCGAATCTTGATCAAGGATAGTTAATCATGATTAGAATTGTTATTTTATCATCAATTAATTAATAACGATAATCATTTGATAAAAGTTTCGCTTCCCTGTCAACAGATGGAATTGTTGGTTGAGAAAAGAAAACAAAGTTTCAGTTAATCATTGAGTCTTAATGTTTACATTGTTATCGTTTGTTAATTGGTAATGAGAGTCAACAAATTAACTCAATTATGATTAAATTGATTGTTAGTTACAATCGATTGTTTACTTAGAATTAATTTTGATTCCATTGTGATGTTTAAATGAGAGGGAATAACAATTATCTCTCATGTGCCTCAGATTTGTTGTTTTATCTTCAAATAACATTTTCTACATTTTCTTATTTGTTTACATTTTCCATTTAATTAATATGGTTCTGTCATTTCGTCGACAATATGATTATTTAACAATGTATCTTAATAATTAATCGATCAAATTGTTTACAGTTGTTAACTTTTGTCACAATTTCTAATCACCATGGCAAAAGATTGTCGAGAAAGTGTCACTTGTGATGATGAAAGTCTCCATGAATTGTGTCATCCTGAAGATATGAGAAGATCAACTTTAATTTCCATTCTTAATGAGGTAAATTGTTAAATCTAACACAAGTTGATTAACTAATTTGGGCACAATATTGATTGACATTTTTGGTTTGTTTTAAGCGTCAACTGGATATCCCTAATTTGGAGGGAATGGATTATGTTCAGCTGATTGAATTGTACAATTCATTTGTTTTACCATTTCCACAAAGAATACAAAATAAACGGAAAGCAATTAAAATGGAAACTGATCAATTATCTTCATCGTTCAAAAGGAAGGCTTTAATCAGCGATCATAATCATTTGAAAAGAATGAGACATGAGGCTGATGAAATTAAAACAACCCAAATTGTTACGGAAAATGTTTAAGACTTTTATGATGTAAATATATATAATTAATTTAATCTACTAATTAATTAGCATCAATATCTCATCGTACAAATTTTGTTGCAACACTTGAAATTCTGTTGGTGTTTTCATCATTAATGATAAAAGTGACAACAAATGAAAAGTTTATATTTTTAATGAAATTCTGACTAAAATTGATCGATAATCAATCCTTACGTTTTGCTCTCTAATTCTGTTGCTGCTTTTTCAATCATTTCGTTGTATTTGGCTCTAAATGCTTCCTTTTCTTTCATTGTTTTTCCTTTTCTAAATTTGGCCTTCTCCTCTTCGGTCATATTTGGTTTGAAATCGATTATAACTCCAGTTCCAAATGTAACTCCACCATCACGGAGTGTGAATCGTTGTCCTTTCTCAGTCATCATTTGCTTAATCAACTAATGTATGAGAAAAAAAATGAACGATTATCCAATCAGTTGTCTTAATTGGAAGATTGAAAATGAATTATCGATGACAATGTTTTCTTACCCTCATGTGGACTTCAACATCTTCACCAGGCAGAGCCATTTCTTTGTTGAGGAAATTAAGCTGAGTCTGAATGTCAAATGTTCTTGAATACATTTGAGCAGAGAAAGAGGTCAAGAAGGGTTTATTTATACCTCCTTCCTCTTTCTTAAGCAGATACACTTTGGCGATCGGCTGATCGTGAGGCTCAATGGTTCCAATGGGAGCCACGGTCATACCTCTTCTGACCTCATCTTTTTTCACTCCTTTCAATAAAATACCAATTGTGTCTCCAGCAATCGCCTCTGTAACAAAGAAATGTAAAGAAAAGATAAGTTTATATTCAATTCTAATAATCATCATTGATGGATCATATTCTAAGAATAAAAAAAAACTTCTTTTTTACCGTCTAAAGTTTTTCGGAACATTTCGATTCCATTAATTTTGGTTTTGACAGATTTACCGTAACCTGCTACTTCGATTTCTTGGCCTACTTTAAATTTACCACGTTCTAGTCTACCAGATACAACGGTTCCTCTACCAACGATTGAATAAATGTGTTCGATTGCCAATAAGCCTGGTTTATCAATATCTCTCTTAGGTTCGGGTATATATTCATCTACAGTGTCTAACAATTTAATGACAGAATCTCGACCGATTTCTGGTTTAGCACTTTCCAAGGCACACAAAGCTGAACCTGCAATCACGGGTACATCAGATCCGTTATAACCAACATCGGTCATTACTTCTCGAACCTCCATTTCGGCCAGTTCTACCATTTCAGCGTCGGCAGCATCCACTTTATTCAAATATACGACCACATGCTCAATACCTGTGAAGATTTAGTCATCAATTAATAAATAAATTCAATTGTTAGATGTTAGTAATTTACCAATTTGTCGAGCCAAAACAAGATGCTCTCTAGTTTGAGGCATTGGACCTTCTGTTGCAGCGACAACCAATATTGCTCCATCCATTTGAGCTGCACCGGTGATCATGTTTTTAATGTAATCAGCGTGACCTGTAATTGAATTAGATGAATTAGAGATTAATGTATATTTTATCAAAGTAAGAAAAAAATGATCCGATTATCTATTCGAACGTTACTTTACCTGGACAATCAGTGTGACCATAATGTCTTTTCTCAGTTGAATATTCTACATGAGCAGAGTTGATTGTGATACCTCGTTGTCTCTCTTCGGGTGCATTGTCAATATCATCGTAAGATTTAACTGTGGCTAATTTTTTCTCCGCCAAAATCTTTGTAATCGCAGCAGTGAGAGTTGTTTTACCATGATCGACATGTCCAATTGTACCAATATTTATGTGAGGCTTGTCTCGAGTAAACGTTTTCTTGCCTGTACCACCAGGTCCTTTTTTAGGTACTTTTGGTTCGGTGGCATAAAGACGAGTAACGACTCTCAAAGAGTCTATTAAATTTCTATAGCTTCCAAGCGACAATAGCCTAGCATTTGAACAAATTTGAAAAGTGTGAAACATAATGTAAAATAAACTAATCAATGGATAGAGAGAGAGAGAGAGAGAAAAAAAGTAAAATTGATCAAAATGCCAAAGGCAAAAACCTTTTTGACATCAGCACAAAGAAACAAGTCAGTACAAAATGGATTCCAAAACTGTAGAATTCACTAATAATCTGTAAAATCTACTCAAAAAAACTACAATTAGATAATAACGAAATTGTTAACAATTAAATGAAAAAAAAACTAAATCAAGGTAAACACATTTTCGGAAACATATGAAATTCTGAGGGAAAATTTAGTAATTGCATTCGGTAGGTTAACTGTTTTTCAACGAAAATGAATAAATTGATCAACGATTATTGATAAATTGTAATCAAAGATTCTGTGGTTTAATCGTAAGCATAAAATTGAGGTAATTTGGTAATTGAATGAATGAACAAGAAGAATTTGTAAAATAAGTTACAAATTTATTAAAAATTAACAGTCGGTCTTTTTGTTTTGTTTTTAAATTATTCCATCTTTTTAAATGTTTTTTGTTGTTGTATAATTGAAACGATTACCATGAGTGCTTTATGGTAGAGTCTTAGAAGTTTTCATCGAAAAAAATGTAAAATTAGAATCGATAGAAAAAAAGAAAGGATAGATTAGCGAAGAGAGAAAAAGTATAGTTAGAGAGAGAGAGAGAATAGGAAGAGAAAAGCATTTGATTTGATGATTTGTGTCTCTGTTTGTTCAATTTTTCTTTGTTGATAATTAACCTTAGTTTCATTTGATCACAGTTTGTTGTAGTTAACGAAGTTATTAATCATTTTTTGTTGAAGGTTCAATCGGTCGTAAGGTAATAAGAGAGAGAGAGAGTGATCTAAATGGGGAAACATAAAGAAAACAGAGATACTTTGTGTTTACAAATGTAGAAGAGAATAAATTGAAAAGAGTTAATCAACAGAAGACTGTTAAATGTTGGAGATGGAATAAAAAACAAATGGAGAAATCAGTAGAATTTACAGATTAGTGAGGTCAGTATGCCTAGAACGTAGGCAGCGACAAATTTTGGGGTTGTTGAGACGCTCAAGAAGGTTGGAAGTTTACTTTCACCCTCATTGGGTAAGCACAAAATGATACCACAGAAAACGGCGACAACAATATAGAAAGATGGAGGATAATTTTTTGATTCTGGTTTGGGCTTATTCTGTCCAGAAATTGTTGCACCTTGAGTATCACTTTTAGAGGTTGAAAGTTGCTTGTTGGTAATCGTTTTAACATGATCCTTGGATAGTTGAGTACATGTTGATTTAATAAACTCTTCAGGTGTGTCAGTATAACCATAGAGTTGTTTTAGCCTGTATTCCTCGACTTCATCTTTTTCAGCCAAGAAGTGAACAGGTAAATCCCTTGAGCCCATTCCAGTGCATTCTTCTGATTGAACTTGGATTCTTAAAACGTCCTTTAAGCCAATATTTCTTGGCGAAGTGTCCAGAAGACGAATTGTTCTATATATATATTTAGAAACCAAAAAAATACCAAATAATGTTAGAATTAACAACAATTAATATGGGAAACAAAGACTATTCCAAAATATTACAGAGAAAAACAATAATAATATTGATCATGAGTCTACAAAGTAAAAATGTAAACAGCATATTATGTAATAACACTGTCTTGTTTCCTCAACTGTACAAGAATATTAATTCAATATCTGAACAGAAAAAAAAGATCAGAAAATATTTGCTTAATGAAAGTAAAATTGATGCGATTAATAAAAAAGATGGAATTGATTTGTAAATGACAGAAAGTCAAAGGCAGTCACAACTGAAAATTTCGTTGCATCATTAAAGTTTCATCACCTTTAAGACAAGAGTTTGATGACTTGGTTAAGTTTATAAAGATAAAGTCATATGGTAAACAAAAACAATTTGAGAAGGAAAACAATCTCAGAAAAGGCGAGAAAATGGCGAAGGGAGAAAGAGAGAGAAAGGAGAAAGAAAGGAATAAAGAAAATACATACACATGAGAGGTACAGTTTGCACCAACTGTGCCTTTGGCTGGAGAAACCTCATATCTTCTTTGGACTGTAGATAAAACTGTAAGATGAGGAAAAAAAAGAAAATATTTACTATAGTAAAAGAGAAACAAGAAAGAAAAAAGAGAGAAAAAAGAGGGAGAGAGAGATAGAAAAGGAAAAAGATGATCTGACAAAAAAAGAAAAGGATACATACCCTGGTAATTAATTCGCCAATCATATGGATTAATTAATTTAATTTCTATTCTACAGGCTGAAGTATCATTGGCATAAAAGCAGAGAAAATGAGGGAACACGAAAACAGGGAATCTGTCAAGATATTTAAGACGTTCTACATTTGTTTTGGAGAGAAGATCGAGAGCAGATGATTCGGTTAATTGTGATCGATGCCATGATAAATTTTGTTGTTGATCAGAATTATTCGCTGATGTTCCTGATGTTGTGATAACTGTTGCTGTTGAAGATGTTGATTTAACCATGATGAGAAAAGAAACGACATAATCTAAAAGCCTTACATGTTGAAAGAAGAAAAAAAAGAAGCAAAAGAGAAAACGACAGGAAACTTAAATCGATTAAAGGTATCAATCTAAGCTAATGAATAATCATTAAAATTCGATACAATTCTGTAAACACGATCAACCTTGTGAACTATAAATAAATTAACTTTAAAGAGCAAAAATGATAACAGAAAAGCAGAAAAAAAAATCACAGATCACAAGCAAAAAGAGAGTAAAAATGGAGAAAATGATTGAGGTCCAGAAGAGAAGATTCTTTTTTCCTTTGTATTCACTATCAGTTTCAAAGATACAATTTAATTTCTATACAATTATTTCAACTTTTACAAGTAAATAGACTAGTGTTTGTACGTGTAGAGTTTAAATTTATTTATAAAAAGAAATAATTAATTCACAAAATAATTAAGAAGCTCAAAGAGTAATTAGAAAATTGAAAGATTTTTGTTGTTTATCTTAAGAAAGAAAAATAGAAAAGAATCTACTTTTCTCTCTTTTTCTCTCTTTCTTTTTGTTTTTTCTTCTTTTTAAAGAATCGGCGCCATTTTCAATTCTCTTTCATTTTCTATTCTTTCAAAACAAACATTTTCTTTTTCTCTATTTACATTTTTAATTAACTGTTCTCTTCTAATTACAATTTAACTTTTGTGTTAATCATTTTGGAATTAGTGTCAAATTGTTTTCTACTTCTTTGGTAATTTTTTTAATTCCATCAATTAAATGTGTCATTGGATCTTTGGGAAAACAACAATCAAACAAAATCTTAGCTTGGTAAGTAAATTGATCAATTTATTTTAATTTATTTTGGTTAATTTATTTTTCTTCCAATTAATTTAATTATCTTTGTTTCTTTCTTCATATTAACAGTGATGGTAGATAATTAATTGATTCTCAATTCACTTTACTGGTTAGTTTGCAAGAGAAATTGTTTCTTTTGTGTTTGTGAGATTTTCACTCTTTGTGTTGGACTTTGTTTATAGAAAACTGATTAGTTGTTGATCAATTATCTTTAATCAGCTACAATTAGCTAATGTTGATTGTTTATCTATTATGAAAAGAGATGAAAATCCTCTGATATCCATTTCTCTATACGATAAACATATTAACCCATTCTCAGCATATCTACATTAACCTTCAATCGGATTGACTCAATTCTCTCCCTATTCAGATATAATCTAATTATCTATCAAGGTCGTTAAATTGAACTGAATTTCATCTGATTAAAGGACAAATTGAAACAAGAGTGTGTCAAGTTGAAAAATCAATCGTCACACGTGTTGATATTTACCAATCGTGTTTATTATCATCTCTAAGTTAGGAAAAGATAGTTATGTTTACATAAATATCATGAACCATGTGCTCCCATTTGCTGAGTTTTGATCATTAATTTACCCTGGAAATTATGACAATCAATTGAATTGTAATTGAATTGAGTTCATTTGTTTCCTGGTTTTTGATGTTGATTACGTTGATTATCACAATCGACAATTTAAGACAATAAGGTTCATCAGACTGTTGGTGGAAAAACTTGAGCTTTTGTTTTCCATTTGAGATGAAAAATCAATTTTATTTTTCTCATTTCAGTCAATCCTTTTCAAGAGTTGCAGATATTTTCATTGATTAGTATCTTGTTACAGTGTCACGAATCTTGATTATTTTCTTCAAATATCAACATCTAAATTAATTTTATTTACTTCCATATATCAATAGTAAAAATTGCTGATTCTGTCTTGGAGCTAATCAAAAGTGGACAATCAACCAGTCATGATTGTCATTCGTTTTTTGGAAAGTCTTGAACAATTAACTATCACTTACGTTGGTTTAATTGGACCAGTTGAACAAGATGATGTCCAAATTAACCAGAATTTGATTAGAATGGGACAACAGAAAATCAAAATCATTCCTGAAGATTCATTTCAACTGGACAGCGAATCATTAAGAATCAATTTATCCAATTTATCTAATGGAACCTGGTCAGTTACCATGATGCTCGGGGCTAAATTATGTAATTTGTTTTCTTTTCTCATTTTCTTGATCATTTTCCGCTTTTTCTCTCTTTCTCATGGTTTATTTACTTTCAGGTAAACAAATTGAAAGCTCTAAATTAGAGGAATGGTGCCCACCTCCACTTGACGATTTACTTAATGATTGGGTTTTCTGTCATCAACATGAAGATAATCCGATGAGAATTGAAGAAATAAAACCCAAAGTGACATCATCTTCACTCGAGTCAATTAGCCAGATTACATTTCTATTGAGGAAACAATCAATGATGTCGACAGTTTTGTTTGAATCAGATAATAAGGATGACAATTTGGCGATACGGATAATTAATCCAAGGATATACATTGGTTTGCAAAATAATCTCACTAATTCAAGTGATGTCTATGAAATTAAACTTCAACAAGCTGCTGCTATTCAATACAAATTATTATCCAAAACTGATAATCTTAATGAGGTGAAAAATTTACGACATAGTTTCAAAGTTGATTGGTATATTGTCAATGGGAGTTTATTTCAACAGATCATTGAAACAATTCAACAAAATAATTTGAACAAATTTTTTAATAATCAATTGATAGATGAAGATGGTTATCTTGATGCCTTCATTTAAATTGTAATATTTTTGACCAACCACATATTATAATCATTACAAAAAAAAATAATAATGTAAAGTTAAATAGTCCAATCTTATGTAATATTCAATTGAAAGTAATTAGAAAATTTCATCGGTAGGATTTGACGATTTCGTTGGTACTCTTGATGGTGTATCACCAATATCTGGAGGAAGGAACAATTTCTCAACGATAAAGTAACGATTATTTTTCTTTAACTGGAATCCCAAATTAGCGACAAGACTTTCTTTGGCTGATGAAATTCTGGCCACTTTATGGACATGAAGAGCTCCTTTATAATCATCACTGTAGACTGAAGGTTTCATTGTATCAAATGCTTCCAATTGAATTGCCGAATCACATATATTTCGAAGTCTTTTAATTGTTACAATTGGTAACCAACCTGATTGAGTAGTAACTATGATGGCACATTTGTTTAATTTCCGGGCAAAGCTTTTCAACTGATAGATGAAGGGACAAATATTATCCTCAGTTAAATTAGAACTGGTTGCTGATAGATGATCAATAATTATCAAATGTTGAGACGATGAGGAACCAGAGCATTTAACTTTTATGCATTTTAAATGTTCCTCCGATCTACTAATTAATTTTTCTAAGGTATTAAACACTTCGTTTATCGGGTGAACACTAACATCATTAACAAACAACAGGGAATTTATTAATCTTTCGTCCATCGTCCTTCCAAAATCAGTTATAATTCCAGTTTCCATTTCTAATGAAGGCATATGATTATAACGAAAAGCTATTTGCATGTCCTTTGGTCCAGCGAGACTATTGTAATCGGCTTTGCTTCTGGCAGGTAATTTCTGGCGGAGAAAATGGAGAATAGAATTAGAATCGAGTTTTTTTTCACTTTATCGCAAAATCTGCCAACTTACCTGAAGAAAAGAGGTAACATCGGCCGAAATATTGTCCGAAAAATAGGTGAGATTAATGTTGCCATGAAGAACATATGAAGAAACACTTTTTAATAATAGATTTGTATAAATACTGAATTCATCTTCCTCTATAAGGAGAAAAAGAAAAGAAAAAGTAAAAGTTAATTTGGCCTCAATGAAGATCGAAAATGACCGAATTACAATTAACCAATGACTCACCGATTAAAATTAGGTTATTAAAAGGTAATCCACCTCCTAGAAGATTAAAATTAATTGTGAAAAATAAATAAATCAAAATACAAACGAAGAGGAGAAAAGAAAATTAATCAAAACAAAAACACGTTTTTACCAAATAGTTGATCGATTCCTCTAATTCCCGTTCTGATGTATTCAACGGCCAAAGGTTCTTCATTAAGGTCGAATTTTCTAAATGACGACATGATCAAATTAACATTTAATTAATGGAAAAATTAAGAAATAAGAAAAAGAATCAAAGAAAAAGTCAAGTGATTATCAACAAGACGAAAGAAAAACAAAATGTAAACAAGAAAATCACGTGACCTAAGAAAAAAAAGCTTCGGATTTAAAAAGTATTTAAATGAGAGAAACAATTAACTAGAAGCCAATTAATAGTTCACTTGTTAATCCTTAAAGATTTATAGTCTCTTACTAATTGCTTTTTTGTTTACTGTTATTTTTTATTCTTCTATTGTTTTTGTTTTGATTTTTTTTCTCGTTCGTTTTAAGCAAATTGTTCAACCAAAATGTCTCAGGATGAGTTTATTGATTTCGATGTGATTTCCCCTTATCATGGTGGTTCAAGTGATAATAGTTTCGCCTCCGGGGTTACTCTGGAACAGCTTCAAGAAGGAACCATTATTAATACACCAGTGAAAGAGGATGGTGATGATAATGACGATGATATTTGGTGGACCAAAGATGAACTTCTTAAGCATTTGGAAGACGGAAGTTCACCGATGTTTGTTGATTCCGTTCCTTGGGATGAAAAGGTCAATTCAATGGAACCTTTGATTGAGAATCAAGTCTATAAAAAGATAATCAAACCTGGAATTGGTTCTGGTCTTAGAAGGAAAAACGCTATTCTTTTCCATTGTAATGGTTATATCGAAGGTTCCGATGAACCTTTTGACTCATCGATTCTACGTGGAAGGCCAATTCTTCACCGATTAGATCGTCAAGATCTTTTACCAGGACTTATGATCGGTATTCTATCTATGAGGTTACACGAGAAAGCTGAGATTCTAATTAAACCTGATTACGGTTTTGGAGAACTTGGTTGTCCACCCAGAATTCCAGCTAATGCGACAATCATTTATATCGTCGAAATCATGAAGATCTTTGAGGAAGGTTCTCTTGCCGATTATGAGCTCATGACCAACGAAGAATTGGCTCGAATTCCGTTTTCGGAGATAATACAGAAATGTAACGAACAACGAATGTCGGGCAATTCCTATTTCTCCGCTGAAAGATATCGAGATGCTGCTCTTCGTTATACCAAAGCGATCAAATTTCTGGAAAAATATTTCTTCAAAAACGCCGAGGAACAAAATTGTGCTAAAGAAATTCTGTCGAAACTTTATCCCAATATTGCCAATTCTTTGATTCGATTAAGAAAATTACGACCCGCTATGGTCTATTGTCGTAAAGCACTCGAGATCAACCCCAATAATGTGAAAGCTTTGTGTCAGCTTGGTAAAGCCAAATTCAACAATGGCGACTACGATCAGGCCAAAATTTTCTTCAGCCGAGCTTGTGACCTGAAGCCTGGAGATTCGTACATTTCCAATTATATGATCAAAGTTGATCGAAAGTTACAGGAAGAATCAATGGTCACTCAGGATCTTTACCGAAAGATCGGACAAGCTTTTCTTGCTAACAATTAGTTAATCATCTACTTATAACTCATAAGTATTTCGACCACAATTGCTTCAAATCTCCAAAAATTTTGATATTTTTCGATACTTTTTCATTCACTTTCATTCATAATTCCCAACGACAACAATTAACCTTTTATATGACATAAATTGCTCACAATTTTCAATTTGATTGATTGATAAACCATTCAAGTTAATTACAATTTTCCCTTGATGATTAATCTTCAAGTGATGGTCATTAATTGTTTACAGATGAATCATTAAAGTAATCACACTAGTTGTGATCTTAACCAAATCAAAGTGTATCTTAACAATCAACTGATAATCTGAACAACATTTACTCATTTTTTATCAATCATAATAAATTATCAACTCTAGAAATTAATTTTCATTAATTAATGATAATTGTCATGGAAATGGTTCTAAAGAAATAAACTAAAGTATCGGTAATCTGTTAATTACCATCTCGAGTTGATTTCTCACTAATATTTTATTTTAATTTCTTTCACTCTCACTAACAGTTAATTGTCAATTAATGGTTAATTATCATTGTAACTTTGATTTGTTTCCTTTCATCTTTCACAATAAAATCATCTTCGCTTGATTTGATTACCTTTGAGACAATGACACGCACTTGAAGTAAATTTCATAATAAAGTACATGATAAATTGTCTTCATTAAAATCCAACAGCAATTTAGTTAATTATCTTGTGTTAATTTAGTAAATCAACTCATTTTTTCTAGTTTTTCTTCTTCCTCAATAATCATCATGTCGAAAATGTTTCAAAAGATTTCAAAGTTATCGATTTCCGATATACTTGAGTTCATGTCATTCCTCAGACTGGACATTTACTTTGCCCTTCTTACTTTTGGTTTCATGGTTCCTTCAGTACCGGTCAGTCAGTTTATCCAAGACAAGTATTGTATTAATCAACTTAAATTGGAACCATCGGTTTGTTTAAATTTGGAAAAATTAGATGGACAATATGAGACAATTAAAAACGATGTTTATACATTTTCGACAACATTTAAAAACTATCAACACTTAATCATAACTCCACGGGAATTATCTTGGCCATTTTCATGGGCTATTGGATGGACACTTATCCATCTCATTTGAAGTACCTTTTGGCCCTCCCATGTTTCGGTGGCTGTTTACTGAACTCATTTCAATCTACAATGTGATCTATTTTGAATCAAGTAAATATCTCAATTTGGTGATGAGGAAATTTAATCATCAACAATTAACTTTTAATTAGGCATTTTTAATCTACTCTGGGGATCGATACCTTATTTTATGACCGGTGGTTTCTTCATTGTTATGACTGGTTCGTACACTTATATTACCCGACGGACTCCGGCCAAATATCGAGCTGCAAGATTTGCTGTTTTTGAACTGTTCATGTTCACATGTAAGTGATTAACTAGACGATTATCTTAATATACTAATGTTGTTGTACCTTTTATTAGCTATGCCTTTGGCTATTGCTCTGGGTGGAAAGGTTTTAGCCCTTAAGCCTTGGATAATTGATCAACATCGTAATTACTTGGCAGTGTTTATCATCGCTTTTGCTTGTAAATTAATCGCCATGATTTGGATTCTACTTTTACTCAATGATGCAGATAAGCCACTCGAAGACTCTGATATCAGATTAGATTCCAACGGTGATAAAGCTCAAAGGATTAACACCAACGGTAGTACCCAAGAAGATGAAATAACTTCACCAACAGAGCAATTGAAAGATTGGCAAGATAAAGAAAGGAATGGAATTGATAATGAAAATAATCAACATCTCGATTTCAATGACGAACAAGCAATTGAATTGGAACCATTGAAAAGCGAAAACAACATAGTTAAATCGTTGGAACTCAATGGAAAAGAAAAACATGAAAACATGGAAAAACCCACTGGTTGTTTACCAATCATGTTCGATATTTTCAATCCATCAACTTTCACCACCATGATGAAAGTTTGCTGCCGAAAGCGACCAAATAACGGACGGGCAATCATTTGGAATCTAATGTTGGCCATGAACGTGATGTTAATTGGGCACATTGGTGAAGGGACAATCGGGTTTCCTTTTGCTCAGAAAGTTTATCATTGGGATGCTACTTATTACTCTTATATTAGTTCAATGACTATGCTGATTCCAACTCTGATTAACACCATTTTACCAATTATATTGATCCATAAGTTTCACTTGGCTGACACAACCCTCGCAATTATTGGTTCGATATCGTTGATTTTGTCCCTAACAATTAAAGGTGGAATCCTTGAGTCTTATGCTTTTTTCCTCTCGGTTATCGTTGGAATTTGTGGTGGCTTATTACCGATCGCCATTCGATCAATCATTTCTCGAATCATTGACCAATCGGAAGCTGGTCAAGTTTACGCTCTTTTGGCTTGTATTGAATCATCTGGTCCAATGGTCGCATCAATCGTTTATTCAGCCATTTTCAACTGGACAATTAAGGATCTTCCTGGAATTGTTCATCATTTTGTTGCGTTAACCATGTTCTATCCTTTTATTGTGTCTCTCTGGTTGGATTGGACAAGACAAAATTGGGATTCGACAATAAATAAGGTTGACAATAAAAATGAACAAATCAAATCAACCGAATTGAATAAGGTTGATGTTCACTGATCTCTAATTGCATCATCCCATTAATTTCTAATTAATTAACCTTGTTATCTGATCAAAATTTAATTTACTAAATGCTTCAACTGTTTATTGTTATAATCAATCATTTTAATCAATTAAAAGAGCAAAGAATTAATAATCAATGTTGATTATTCATTAGAATTAAAATCAAGTTTCGAGTTAAAACTTCGATCCAACGAGGTTAAATTCTCTTACAGAAAAATTACTCGATTTTAGAAAATAGATATGAACAATCAATCACTCACCATGATATAAGATTAAATCAATTAAATTAAATTCGATAATCTGATGATTTAATTAGAAAATGAAATTACCCGCAATTGGAAAAAAGAAAAGAAAACATGAAAGTGATGACATCTAGCGAATTATTTTTTTTCATTTCTCTTGTCTATTTATTTGTCTATACGAATTTTTATTTACTCTTTAGTCATTTAATTGTGATTTGAATCTTTTTCCTTTTTAATTTTGTTCCTTAATTAACCTTCACTTGTCACTAAATTATTGAAGTTACTGTTAACCTTTTACTTTCTGTGATCTACAACCGGTTTAATCGATTGTAAATTTTGTTCTCAAATAAAATGGTTAAACCAAGTCCCAAAAAGGTTGCTGGTAAAAAGGCCGTTGCAAGTCAACCTCGTATGGCGGCAAATGGGTATCGTTTACCTGATCCTTTGCCCAAGGGTGAAATACTAATTGACAATACAAAGAGAAGCTGGATCCTTGGTGAGAGTATAGGAGTTGGTGGATTCGGTGAGATTTATCTCGCTAAATCAGCTTCTAAAGATAATGCTGACTATGAGTATGTTATCAAGGTTGACCATAATAATGGACCTTTGTTCAATGAGATGCATTTCTATTACCGTGTTGCCAAATCTGAATTTATCAAAGATTGGGTTCAAAAGAAAGGTAAGTCAAACTATTTTGCTTATCAATTAAAAGTCTATTGGTTCTTATTAAATGTGTCATTTTGAGTAGCATCACATTTTATAGATTGAACATGTTATTATTTTCTCTTTCATTCTCTCCTTCTTCCTCTTTGTTTCTTTCTCTTTGGAGTAATAAATGATAAGAAATACAGGAGAAATTTCATTGGCTTTCATTGTGCTTTTTCTTTTTCTTTGTTTACCTTTAGGTTTAACATTCCTTGGAATGCCTCGATTCGTGGCTTCAGGTTTACATGATAAACAATCGAATGGTGCTGGTGCACCGAAAGGCCGTGGAATCAAGAAACCACAGCCATCGTTAAAATATCGTTTCCTGGTTATGCCTCGATTTGGTACTGATTTACAAAAGATGTTAGATGTTCACAAACAGTTTTCTTTGAAAGCAGCTTACTCAATTGCTATCAAGATAATTGATATTCTAGAATTTATTCATTCTTTTGGTTACATTCATTCCGATATTAAAGCTTCAAATCTACTTTTGTCTCTCCAAGAAGAGCAGCGTAAGGTAAAGGGTAAAAATTCTGGTATTTTTTCAGAGGTTTACCTGGTTGACTTTGGATTAGTCGAAAGATATGTTTTCAAAGATGATGGTGTTCATAAGAAATTTGAAGAAGATGCTCGAAGAGCTAATAATGGAACTGCTGAATTCAGTTCAAGAGATGCACATATTGGTTGCTTTTCTCGTCGAAGTGATATTGAAATACTCTGTTATAATATACTTTCCTGGATGTCTGGTGGTAGATTACCCTGGATGTTTAATTTGAAAGATAGTGCGTATGTTAAACAGTGTAAAAACTATTACATGGAAAGAACAACAGAATTACTTAACTATTGCTTCCCACCCTCATCATCTTCACCTCCTCCTGTTGCTGTTTTATCCAAAAAGTCTGAGACCAACACTAATGCCAAGGTTGTTGATCGTACTAAACCATCTCCTTCAATTCCTCCTGGAATTGCCGAGTTTATTAAATATACAATCAACTTGAAATTTGAAGAAGAACCTGATTATGGTTATCTTAAATCGGTTTTAGAAAAGGCGATTGTCAAATCGGGAGAAAAATCTGATGGTAAATTTTCTTTCGTCCAATCGAACACAATTTCACCACCAACAAGAACATCAAGAACACCAAGAACACCAAGAACATCCAGAACATCCAGATCATCTTCATCTTCATCCTCATTGTCTCCAATTAAATCACCCAAATCGTTACCACCTAAAACGAGATCACCAAATGGAACCGCCGCAAAAAGAGCTGCAGCACCAAGTCCAAGTCCAGTACTTCGTAGCAGAAGACGCATTTAATTTGGAATCAGAGTGATCAAAATAATCAATGGAAATGAAAAAAATCCATCATTTCTAATTCAATTCATCATCTGTCATCTTTCATATTGTTTAATCACATCTCAATTATACAAGCTAATGAATGACAAATGGGCCTCATAAAAATAACTAATCGTCTTCAAGAAATGATAATGGTCGACGATGGACTCAAAAAAAAGCGAAACCAAAATCCAAAGGTTTCAAAAAGCTCAAAGTATTTTGAAAGAATCAGGATAAAATTACTAACATAGCAAAATGGATCATTTAACATTATCATTATTGAAGAAAAGTGAAAAATATTATTTCTTACTTGGACCTGTTATTAAATTTGCCCATTCTTTTACACCAATTTATCTTCCTTATTTTGAGAATCACCATCGACTTATCGCTAATTAGCGTTATAAAGAAATAAAAATTAGCTTGTGAATAAATCGAGCGAAATTGTCAAGCTAAGAAAAATTAATCTAAATTGTGTCTTGAGTGAGATTGATGAGAGTCAACAAAGTTCACTTACTGATCCGATTAAGTAAAAAAGTAGTTCAGTTGTCAAGATTTGAGGAAAAAATATCAATCCGATTGATTGCAATTAAATATTCTTGCACAATATGGTGTTAAATTAACAAAGATGTTTTAATCCAAATTTTGGATAATACATTTTCCTCATTTGATTAAGCTTAATCTATAGAACTCATTTACATTGGTGGTTCCAAACCAGAGATGATGGGCCCTGTTGGCTTCGGCATTTTGGGCTCTGAATAAGGTTGAGTTGGAATAACTTCTTCTTTAGGTTCATGAATAGAAACATTGTCGGGTAAAGGCTTTTTGGGTCCCTTCTTTCCGGTTGGATCCCAAGGTAACATAATTTTAACCTTAATACCCAAAACACCTTGTCTAAGAAGTACATGTCTGACAGCTTGGTCGACATAATCGTTACATGGGTCACCAGCATGGATCATCCATCCGTCAACGAATTTCATAGATTTGGCTCTTTGGCCTCTAAGTTTACCAGAGACAACGACTTCACATCCCTTTGCTCCAGATTCCATGATGAAACGAAGGACACCATAACAAGCTCTTCTTACGGCAAGACCTCCAATCAATTTGTATCGAAGTGATTCACACTGAGCGATAGCACAAAGACCACGATCACTAACTTTCTCAGCGTACATCTGAAAAGGTGAGAAAAAAGAAAAGTTGTTAAATCCAACACAATCTTGTAGATAAATTGAAAACTTACCTCAACTGCTCCTTCAGGGAAATTGAATCGCTTTTGTACAACGGAAGTCAATTCTCTAATCCTACGAGCTTTTTCTCCAAGAACTGATTGAGTTCGAGTTGCAAGGATGATGATCTCTGTCCTATTAGGAGTAAGTCGAAGTTCAACACCTGAGTAACCATCTTCGGCCAATTCTCGACGCAAAAACTCGTCTAATTCAGCCTTGAAAACACCATCGGCTACAAACTATTAAAAAATAAAGAATCAACAATAAGTGAACACGATGCAAAAAAAAATAACAAACCAATACAATGGCAACAAAAGCAAACAAGAGATGATCAAAAATCAATTTTCACAATCAACTCACCTTCCTTTTCTTAGAAATAGTTGTATTGGCCATTTTAAACACTGATGTCAAAAACTAATTAAAGTAAATTAAATTCACGAAAAAACTAAGAATATTATTGAATCAGTGAATAAAATTTTCTCTCAATCGGTAAAAAATCCAACAATCCAACTTTCCGTTTCCTTCCGGTAACCATGACGACACTTGCGCTCCCTCTACCCACCGATTAACCGGCTAATTCAAAATTCGATTTCCATTGATACAAAACATGTGTTTCTTTTTAATTAATAGAATCTTTTGTCTTTTAATTTCTTAAAATAAAATTGTTAATTACAGCGCATTAAAATCTCTCCGAAAATTTGAAGAAACTGTTTTGACAACATTCACCTTTTTCTAAATTCTTTTCTGATATTCAATCTTGTAAATCCATGAAAAGATTTCTTTTGATTGTGATGAGTGTTTTTCTTGAAAAAACTTTAGATTATCATAATCATCAAACCAACAAGATGATATAAAAGAGATGAAGGAAAACTTACTGATCGAAATCAAATCGAATACTGAATTTGCTGTAATTATGATTTAAATTGTATCGAAAATAAAAGTTTCAAAATGTTCTCAGTTTAAAAAGTTTCAATTCGATTGGAATCAGTCAACATCAAATGAATTAATCTCTCGACTATTGTTTTCATTTCAAGTTTTGAGAGGAGGAAACGGAAAGGCGAAACCACCATCTAACCAGAGATGCTCATGTGTGTGTCTACTTTTTTACTTATAATGAGTGTCAACGACTGAGAATCAGACAATTCGCAGAGAAACCAAATGAAGGGTCGTTGGTCCTTTCATTGGCGCGGGGAAAAAATTTTAATCAATAAAATTCATAGCCCCAGTCATCATGTGTTTCAATTGGTATTTAGGTTTAGCCTAAACCCATACTGAAGACTAAAGTTTCAATGGTAACGTTTGAGTTTTTATATTGAACTTTGGGATTAGAATTTTTTAGTCTTTAGAATTAAATTAATTTTTATGAGCCAATTTGAATTTTGTTTCGTTTGTCAACTAACGATTCGAATATGATTGAGTTTTTGTGACAACTTTTTGTGTTTAGTTTAAATTTTTCTTGAATAGAAATTCAATTAACTTGTAATTATGATTCTTCTTTTTGAATTAATTGTTGTTATTGTTTTTCTCTGATTGGTTGAAATTTTTCACTTGTTTCATTTTAAAAAATTGGAAAATGAGATAAATTATGATTTGATGGAATTTGTTTATTTGTCTAATTTTTTATGTTTTTTTTATTGGGAAAATTCATCTTGCATTTTTATTTTCAATCAATGATTGACCAAATTTAATTTTCTGTCCTAATTTAAGATTAAATTGAAAATCTTTTGGCGCTTCAAAGATTAACACAATTGTGGAGCCAAGATTGAATTCACCAAATGGATCACCTTTGGAGGGATAAATTTCCTCGGTGAAAGTTTTATCCCCGTAAACGTATTTCTTACAAAATGGTCTGTTGGTCCGTAATTCCTGGTGAAAGGTAGATTAGTAGAAGAGAAATCGAATCAATGAAAAGCTAAACAATTAACAATAAGAAAAACAATTGAAACTTCAACTAACATGATCGAAGTAAATTTTGACCGAACCAACATTAGTCGCACCAATGGCAGCAAGAGAAAAGAATCCATGAGTCCATTCACCGAAATAAATAACTCGTTCATTCAATTGGAAAAGTCCATGCATCCAATTGGCGAAAGTTGGACGAACACTGAACAATTTACCTTAATTACCAGGAAGAAATGATGAGGAAAAACAGAGGAAAAAATTAATCTCCAACCAATTAGAGTTTAACTTGATTCAACTAACCAGAAAAATGTCTTCTAAATTTGACCTGCCAATCTACTGGTGAATGGAATCTATGATAATCGCCTGGAGCCAAATAGATTACACATTGGTAAAGTTGATTATCTTTATCGTTGGTTAATAATTTTGATCTGTAATTTAAATTGGTTTCATCTTTTTCCCTTGATAACCAATTGATTGGACCCAGAAAATATGAAAGTGAATAAGTTGCTCCTTTAACCTGTTCCACTTTCTCGTCGTCATCAACGGGTCCAAAATTAATAATAGTACCATCGGAAGGTGATGTCTATTAAAAGGATAAATTAAATATTAACAATCAATGATTAGTTAATTTGATAGAAAATTGAAAAGTAAAAAAGAAATGTAAACAAAGCGAACTGACCAAAACGTGTTCACCAATCGGTCTCACATGAGATTTCAATGGACGAGTGAAAAATTGTTGCAAATTTTGATAACTTTTTAAATCATCAATTTCAGCTTCATTTAGATCACAATTAAATGCTTTCACGTAGCTTTGTAATATCGGTTCACGAATAATTTCAGGTAAATTAACTGAATTAACGGTTCCCCAGATTCTTGATGCGATCCGAAGAGGTAAAAGCTTCAATAGTGAAATCTAGAAAAGAGAAAAAAAAAGAAAAGCAAATTAACAATTAACTAATGATGAAGAAAGTTAATTTACCTCAAAATCAGTAGGTTGATTAGTTGATTTACCATCAACATTATCATCATAATCAAAATCAATTGATTCATTGAAACGATTCTTGTTTATCCGATATCCTTGGAAACCAATGAAACCAAGACCAACATAAATTGGTAATGGTTTCAATGGGAAAGATTTAATTAATCGTTTAATCATACCAACAGGTTAACAATTAGTTAAATCATAGAAAAGCAAAACAACAATTAACAATCAATGAGTTAAACAACATAAACCAGCATCATTTCCAGAGGTAAAATTGTTTTTCCTGTTCACTTGAAAATGTAAACAAAAACAACTGATGAAACCACGTGACCAGAAACATGAGACTTTTTTTTCAATCATTTTGATTTAAGTTGACAATTAGTTAATTGTTTCGACCGGTAAACATTTTTGGTCTCATTTTACAGAGAGAAGATTGAATTGTTACTTTTCTCTAACAAAATAGTAAAAATTCTATTTGACCAAGTGACAGGTGCCTTTCTATTTACGCTTGACCATCTGACCAATTTCCTGGACATTTGGACATCGTTAAAGGTCAATGGTTATCATCTCATCTACTTGTCCACTAACGAGCTGGTCAGTTGATTGTTGATTTGTTTGTTTCTTAGGAAATGATTTTCTTTTCCTTTTTACAGCAATATAAACGTAAAATTTGTAATGGTCAGTTTTCTCTCTCACTCTCTCTCTTTTTGGTCATTTGGTGATAGAAAACATTAAATCAATTGTAAGACAAAAAATTAGATGTTAATTGAATGTTTTATTGGGAGATAATTTTGTTGTTCAATTACATTTACAACTATTTAAAAGGATGATTTTAATTTTAAGGTCAAAAGGACGAAGATGAAATGTCCACTTCGAGCCCTTTTCGGGTTGTAAACGATTATTTGATAATTATGGCCACTGTTTTTGTTTATTACCAGTTAATGAGTTAAATTAGTTGATCATGAGTTGATTAAAAGGAGAAAAGGTATAAAAACCGTAGTGATTTTTATACAACAATTAAAGTTCATTGTAAGGATACGATAATTTATCTTCAAGAATTGCGATTAGTACTGTGATTAAATGATGACAAGACTTTACAAAGGAGAGACACAATATGATGAGAGGTGATGATTTTAAGGTTGAGAAAAAAGTTTCAAGATGAATTATCATGATTTAGATGAAGGTAATTAACTAATAACCACCAGCGATGGGCCTTTGAACATTGTTATAAGAGTTACCGGTTGATCCACCTTGTTGGTAATGTGATCCACCACCGGAGGAATAATTTTCTTTGTAATTATTTCCACTGGAACCATCATTCCAACCACCACCACCTCCAGCACCAGCATTGTTACCACCGCTTATGGCCCCACTGTAGCTTCCACTACCACTGCCACTATTGTGTTTACCACCAGAGGTGTAACTAGAAGATCCACCGCCCATACCATAAAAGTCACTGTTTCCACTAAATGAGTAAAGTTTTAAATTAGAAATTTAAATTTTTCTTCAATTGCTGATCACTTACCAATCCATTGAGGACATCATCATCCAACTATTATCCATACCACCGCCGTAGGAAGGCATTTGAATGGGAGCTGACATGTAGCTACTCATACTTCCCATGGATGGAATACTCATTCCACCCATTCCGCTCATTCCACTTCCCCAGGACATTCCTCCTCCTCCACCGCCACCAAATTTACTTCCTTTCATCATCATGCTGTTTATGGAATGAGAATATTGAGAAAATAATGAAATAAACAAAAATTAATGGAATTTAGGACATTTCAAGTGTCGAACTCAAATTGACACCAATAAGTTAGAGTAAAGAGTTGCTAATGAACAAGGGATAAGTTGTCAACTTCAATCTTAATTAGTCTGAGTTTCGATAGACTCAATCGTAATTGATTCCACTTTTATCATCCCAAGTTGATTATCTTTCAGCTGATTTGCAAATGAATTTCAATCCAAGTGGACAGAAAGTGGACAATTTACTTACGGGAAGGGCAAAGGTAAGATTAGGAGCTTTTTCTTTGGCTTGATGGCGAGTAGAAGGGGTAGAACTTTTTTCAATTTCTTAATCATTTTCTTCTTCATCCCAAAAGATTGATCAGCATTTTGAACAATTAAAAATGTAACAATCACAAGGAGAAGGCAAAACCTCATGGAGAATAGGCCACTTTTTGGACTCATTATGATGATCGATTGTTAAATTGAAGGTTGAGAACAGAATAACAATAATAATAACCAATGGAAAACAAACAAGATGATTAGAGATAAACAATTAAGGTGAACAATGAAATCCGTTGATCGATGATGATGTTATGGATGATGGAGATACAATCTAATGGAAAAGATGGAAACTTAAATAACAATTGGAAATGTTCACTTGAGGACAGTCGACGATGAAAGGCTATCGAGTCGATGGAATCAGTTCCTTTTTTACCTGATTGTTGGTCATTCTCACTAAATTGTTAATGGGAGAGTTGATAATCTAAAAAAGGGGAGACATAAATGAGTCCAGTTAAGGGATAAACGGCTAAAGATGATTATGTGAGAGAGAATTGAGATTCGATATAATCAAAGAGAGAAAGAGAGAGAATAAGATAGTAGGAGGGGAAGAGGAGGAATTGTCCTATTCTATCAATCGACGAAATCGGTAAAAGTAAAAAGAATAAATCTCCAATAAAATATTCAAATTCGAAACTATTTAGCTAATTCTTAACATTTTTCTTCTTATTTGGCCTACCTTTTTGGAAAGAACTTATTATCATCCTCATCATCCTCATCATCTTCGTCATTATTGTTATATCGCTATTATTATTATCGGTGATGAGAGTAACAGGACTAAGGAGGTTGACTCAAGGAGAGAGAAGGAAGAAGATGAAAAAGGGTCGAGATGATGAAGAAAATGATGATGATAATGTTGATTGTTACATCATCATCATCTCTCTCTCTCTCTCTCTCTCTCTCTCTCTCTCTCTCTCTCTCTAAATATTAGAGAAAAAGTTTCAAATATTATAATAGTTTATTGGGAATCACCAATTTCCATTCATTATTATTATTACTTTCTCTTTCTTATGTCAATCCATATCCATCTTGTATTATCATAATAATCATATTGATGATGATAATCATCATTATCTTAATTTAATCATAAACTATTAACAATAATCGATTCATCTTAAGTTGTGTCACTTTAATCAAGATTATACCGGAAAGAGGAGGTCCAATTGTATTCTGATTAAAGTTTCACCAATTAATTGGAGACAAAATTTAATTGCTTATTTATTGATCACATATTATTGTAAGAAATTATTTCTAATTAATTATACAATTTAACTAATATTATTATTTATTAACAAGATTGTAATTTGTATGATTAATAATGAAATTATAATACAAATAGTACATAACAATTTAAACATTGATATTTAACAATTAATCAATTACTTTTACGTTTTCTTCACATCTAATTGTTTAAACATTATAATTAAGGGTTAATTTAGATCAAAAGTCACTTGACAATTAACTTGGCAATCAAACCCTTAATCTAATCAACATTAAATTATTTTTGTTTCCTATTCTATTGTTTAAGAAAAAAATTGATCATCATCATCTTTAATTACAAGCTGATGATGATAATCAAAAATGATTAAAGTGATGAGATGATGATCAGAACTGGACAGATCATGCTGAGTGTTTATATCAATTGATAACAATTATTATTATTAATATTAGAAAGTAAAATTTTTTCATCTTTTTGTTGATGATTGACCTCGATTACCTTAAATATATAAAGACAATCAATAATAACAATCAACAAAACAAAAAATAAACAAGTAACAACAAGCTGATTGTTGGGATATTATATTGATGTTACAAGATAAACAAGTAAGCCCTTAACTTATTATTATTAGTTGATTGTGATTAAAATTGATAATAAATTGATATTATCAAGAAAAAAACAAGATTATCAATATAAATGTATTATAATAATAATATTGAGAATGAAAATTTTATTAATCAAATCAAATTAACTAAATAATAATCAATACTAATCTTTCTTGATTGTGTCACAATTTAAGTTTAATTTTTTTTCCAAGCAAATGTATTATGTACAAATACAGTTAATTGCGATCAATTTTGATTCAGTTATCAATTGTATTAGTAAATATTGATTGATTATGAAGATGATCAGATCTAATTGTTGATAATAAAGTGAAAGGGAAAGTGAATCGTTGATGTTGATGGGTTTGTTGTTGATTAAGTTTTCCAATCACAATTTAGCTTTTGATCAATTTAATAGTCTTCTCCAATGATGGTTGATTGTTAATCACATTGATTATCATGATTAACCTGAACAATTGTTTGATAATAATTGTGACATTTACTGTAATCAAATAGGAAGAGAGATTGAGAAAACTGTGTTAACAATATTGTTAACGATTAACAGCAATTTAATACCAATTTGTTTCCCAATAATTATAATTATTGTAAGATAATGATGATGATGTATAATCATTGACAATTAACTGGATAACAATATTGATTGTTTTCTTCATTCCAACAATTTATATATTCAAAAAGTTTAATTCTAATAATCATTTTACCTTTGTTTTCACCAAATACCGGAAGACAATTGTATTAATCATCTTAATCATATGATATATAAGTAATCACTAAATTATATAATAGATTAACAATTTAATGATTACAGATGATTAAGATTGTTATTTAATTACAAAGGTATTAAAATAAAGCAAAATAATCCAATTGTAATCATCATGAGATAATAATAATAACGATAATAATTAATTGTTTTACCAAACCATCAATATGTATATGAAAATGAATCAATCAATATTTAATTATTTCCAATAACATTGATCATCTAATTATTTTTGATTGTTGCTTTTCTTGATTAAGTGATGGATTAATCATCTTAGATGATGATGATAAATATAATCTTCTCACCTGATAGTGAAAATAAGATGAGCAACAATTTATTTTTATCAGCTGATGAAATTTTCGTTAAATAAAAATGGCCACTAGTTAACCGGAACTTGGATGATAAATTATTGATGACATACAATTAACTAATGATGATGATGATGATGATAACAGAAAACAGGTAATCAAGTGAATATAACAATAAACAAAATCAAAATTAAAGTTGAAATTAAGGTGTTGGTATAATACTGGTTGAACAATTTACGATTGTTTATCCATCTTGATTGTTGTAAAGTTAATTGTTGATGGTTAATGATGATAAAAATTATCAATAGCATCACAATAAACAGTTAACTGATAGACTAATCAACAAATACAAATTGTTCATGTTCATTTTGTTTTATTGATTGTGAGTTAATTTAGTTTGACAGATTAATTTGCATTCATTTTTTTTTATATATATAAATTGATCATCAAATTGGCAGCAATTAAAATTGATTTTGTAATTTCATTTAGTATTAAGGTTTGTATATAAAGATGTTTATTTTAAAATCTAACAATCATCATCTAATTGTTGGCAATTTGTATTCATTTAGTTATAATTATATGCAATCAATTTGTTTACATTGATATGAGATGTTGATGATTAGCAAAGGTAATTAAATTTTTTAGTTAATTGTTTACTTGATTGTCTTGGATATTTTTATTGTTGAAAAATGTGATGAACAATTTATTATTGGAGGTTTGATTAATGATCATTGGAAGCTCATGATTTGTATTGTGAACAGGAAAATTTAAGTTAATCACAATTGTATTGGATTAATTTTCGTTGTAATTAGTTTGATTGAATGAAAACTCTCATTTAGGAAATTGATTCAGATTAAATAAGTAAGTGTAATCAAATTAACCCAACAATGGAGTTGTAATTAAAGTTAAGGAGCTTATCGTCAATATTATTGTAACAATTTAGTTAGAAATTAGTTAATGATTAACCTAAACTTCCGGAAAGTTTGAAACTCTAAATGTTATGACAATTTACTTTAATTGTTTTGGATTTTGAAACATTTACTGACTTCGATGGTGAATTATGAGATTGATTTAATGGCCACTCTGTTAATTGTTGCTAATTGTAAGTACTTTAATTTCATATTTGATGGTAATAAACTATTGATGTATTAAAATTTATTCTAGTTGATTATTTATTCACTTGTTTAGATGATTAACGATTGATTAACGAGCTTTAATCGTGTTCTGAACTTTCGCCGGTCGAACGCATCTTTCGACTTCGTCTAGCGAACTCACTGGCCACCGGATTCGTTGGCATCAACTTATGAACATCTGAATTTCGACGAGGCCAAACACTATGAGGAGAATGATCAGAAATTCGTAACGATTTTCGTAACTGGGCACTACTTTGTCGTCGACGTTGCTGGAAATCTGATATATCTGCGTGTTGATTCAATCCACTGATTGTACTAATCGAATAGTTTTTAGCTCCACTGCTTGAATTTCGAGGTGATTGATCGCTAGTCTTTTGGGAGAAATTTTTTAGTTAGTTAATTGATATTCGATCACGACTATGGTTACCTGATTTGCTAAGATTGATCTCGGCGAAGGAGATGGAAGAGCAATCGATCGTCTTGGACCTCTTAACTCTCGATGGTCCATTTCGATAGAGACACTAGAAGAACTTTTATTTCGAGTTCCGTCGAGTTTAAAACTTTCTACGGCAGCAATACTCATCTTTCTCCAATCAGACTAAGCGAATTGATGATTAGTAGAAAAGAATCTAAATTAACAATCAGTGTTCGTTGATTAACTTACTTTGGGTCTTTTATGCATCACAATTTGTTGGAAAACTTCATCTTCTTCAACATCCTTGACCATATCTTTAAATGTCGCCAATTGAGCTACTCGAGCTTCCGGTTTTCACTGAGTAGTTCTTGTGGGTCTAATCCATTCATTTCCTGATTTTAACGAGGAAAAATTTCGAATCAATTTAACCGAATAGACAAAGATAAAGGTAAAGTTCTTACAGCCCATTCTACTAGAAGATCTTGATGTAATGAACGTTTGCGCTCTCGAACTGTTTTGTTATATTCTCGAGCTATTTTTATGTCTTCTTTCCAGAAACGAGATGTTGCCGACGATTTTTCATCAACTGGTGAAACCTCTTTAATCTAAATGAGGAAAAACTCGAATAGTATTGTCACAGAATCAACTGTCATTTTAATGGTCAACTCATTTACCTTCAATAGTAACCAAGACATGAGTAGGATACAAATAACATTGACCGTCGCCAAGCCGAGGCTGACCAACCCAAGCCAGAAACATTCATATGAGAAATTAGTTGAATAAGAAACTTCATAATTTGGATCCAAAACGAGTGATGGTTTAGTTAAGGTCGCATTGTTATCGGTGCTAATATAGTCCTCATTGAGTGCACGAATCGCTCGAAGGAAAGAGAAAGACCATAATAGACCCTTGAATGGTTTGGAATTAAAGAAAAAGTTAAGATTCCAAGACGATGGAAAATTGTGATTGAACATTAAACTTACTGAGTTAACACATGGCGGTAACAATGAGGCCGAAATCGCAACACCAACGAGCGAAGCCTGATTACCCGACAACATTGACACAGCGACCGCAGCACCCGAAGGTAAAGCGATTAACCCACCGACCCAAAGTGATCTCAATTGACCTCGACTTCTCATTGCAGCCGTTGGCCATGTTGTCGATGAATTATATTCATTAGTAAAATTAAGTAACAAACAACCATAAAAGAATCCTAAATAAAGACAATTAAATGACAATTAACGAGTTCGACTCAATCAGTCAATATGATACGAACCAAAAAGTATTGCTGAGCCGAACCCAATGATTGCATTTCTAATTCCAATATTTCGTAACTTTTCATCTCGAACAATTAAACCAAAAGTCATCGCCATAACTGGACCCTGATTGTGAATGTTTAATTGTTTACAATTTAATATAATCTAAAATACTAATTGTTATTACCATTAAAGGTGAGACCAACATGGATGCCACCAGTGTAACAACATCGGACTCCATTAAACCCAATGCTGCCAACCAAGCAGCACAAAGGACATAGCAAACAAAGTCAAAGGTCATCTCAGCACCAGACTGGACACTGGCCACTACTTGAGCCACAGTTAATCGGGCAGTTACTGATTTGAGAAAAGTTTCCTGCATCGTCTTGAACCCACTCTGCTTCTTGGTCAGGTCATTTTTAACCGATTCGTCTGGTTTCAGATCACTTTGTATTATATATATACAGTATAGGTAAACGTAGCAATGAAAAGAGATCATTAATTGTAACAATTAACTAATTTTACTATTATTATACTTACTTTGTTTCGTCCAGAAAAACATCAGCATCTTCTTCTGCTTGATAAGCCAAAGCAAATGGAATGATTCTGTTAATTGTAATAAGAATTAACTACAATTTAGAAAATTGTTTAAAACTTTGATTGTAATAGTTAAACAATTTCAAGTTTATTTTTGAATTAAAAGTCAATCCAATACTTTAAATGGTTTGTTCAAGATCCTTAATTGTTTGCTTCAATTAATTTGTAAAATTCAATGTTTCCATTCAAGTTTATTGTTAAATCAAATCTATTTTAATTTTAATTGTTTGCCATGAGATCGCTTCAAGTAATTCAAATAGATATCAACACGATGATGATTAAATTGAAATCGTAACAATTAGATGATATTGTTTATTATTTAAATCACTTCGATTTCATTTTCACTCAACTTTTCAGTTCCAATAAGATTTACTTGATGAGAATCAGTTGATGAGATCGAATCAGAATTTTTAATTGTGACAATTAGTTTGAGTTTTCTATCAATCATGTTCAAAAGATACGAACTTTTTTCCAAAATTATCTCAACTGTTTTAATGATCAATTTAATTGTAATAATTTTGGACGATTCGAGTTTTGTTAATTGTGATAATCAAACTAAATCTACTTCGGAAAATAATTCAATATTTGGTTTACCCTCGGTAATTAAATCACAGAATTTTAAATTCCCATCATGGCCTAAGGAGATTTCATCTTTGTTTTTCAGTGAAAGAGATCAAGACTTGATGACCAATCCCTATGTGTTTGGACTGGTCATCATTGAGAAGCTTGAAAAGTTAAGAGCAATGTTACCCAAAGGAATCGGTTTACTGGTTCAACCAATTGTCAATCTATTGATCAACAGTGGATATTAATCAACAATCAACTAATCAAAACATTGAAGCTTCACAGTGGCATGAGTACAGCAATAGATGAGGTGAATGTTACAATTGTACAATCAACTGATTCCTCTGAAACTGACCAATTAAATGGACAAATGATCACACTGATTGCTGATAATTACCCGATAAATGTTTGTGGTAAACTCCCAATTCCTTGCATTTGAATGTGATAAATTATGGAATCACTTTCATCAACATCGCAGGCAAAGTAAACATGGAAAAGTTTATCATCTGTACTCTTAATCCAGGCAGCATTGTTAATCTCTAATTCCTTGAGAGTTTTTTCTAAAATCTGTAACAATTAAAAGCGAAACAATTGCAAATAAATGATTTAATCACTAATCAAATGAAACAAAAAAAGATCAACCATCAAAAACTGTTACCGTTTGAATCGGAAGTTCAATTTGATCCTTTTTCTTATCATCAACAGGTAGAGCCAAATGATTTCCTATTTAATTACAAGATTAAATTGTAACAATTAACGAATAGATTCAATGAGAACCAGGTTTCTTATCACAATTAAGATATTAATAATACATCATTGAGCCCTAATTGTTGTCTACAGAGATAAAATTTATGTTAATCAATCAACTTTTTACAAAATCTTTTTGATTGTTAAATGACAGCCTAATGATGGTGATGATTAACATTAACAATTTAATGTTTTTTTCATTATAATCAAATCTATGTTAATATATTTATCCTGATTAACATAATCTTGATCAATCGTTAATCATGAATGACGAGTTGTTGAAAGATAATTGTTGAAATTATCGTTGATTAAGATTGACAATCAAGATTTAACTAACGAGCTGTTCAAAAGTAATTAAATCAAAGGCTCTATTGAATTTGATTAATAAACTTTTACAAATTTATATGATCAATTAAACCAATCAAATTGAAAGTTGATAAAAAAAATTAACTTCAAATTTTAATTGTGCAGTTTACAAATCGCCCAATGTATTGATTTAATACACAATTAACCCAATTGGTAAGAGGAACATGTTAATTGTTGGGATAATTTGAATTACTATTTCAAACCAAGCTTAATTGTGATTAAGTTGCATTGCGATTGTAAACAATTTAACGATTTAATTTATTATATTGTCAATGATTGTTTATTTTTGCTCTAATTGTGATGTAAAAATTTTCTATCAACAACTAAATTATTTAGATTTTTAATTGTCAACACTTACCTTCATTTGATTTAGTAACTGTGCCGATTGAAATTGATTTAATTGTCTTTGATTGATCAGTTGTTGTCGACGATTCCAATGGTTCCTTATTGGTGGGAACTGTTATCATAACCCAAACTGCACTGGACATTTTTAATTGTTTGTGATTCTGTCAAATAAATGATGGCAAACAATTAAAAATCAAAATTAGATTGTTGTTGATATTTGGTAGTAACAATTTGATTGTAAGAAAACATCAATTGATTGACACAATTAAATGACTGCCAAAAGTTGTGTCCAAGATCTTGAGAGATGGTTAATTGTGATTTTAATCAACAACAAGAAAAAAAAGTTAATTTAATTAATAAATCATACAAAATGTTACTGAGGTATTGATTTGGTTGTAATTTAGATTTAGTTATTGTTGATTTTTGTGATGGACTCTAAATTTTGGTTCAATTAATTGTTGATCAAACTTAACACATCAACTGATTAACTTGCAATGGGCTAAAACTTTTAGACTTAATTGTGTTTTGGCAACTTAATTGTGTCTCCTTATTTTGAGTAAAGTTAACTAATTACTCAATATTAACAATGGATCATGATTATAATTAAATGATGATAAAGGAAGATGAAGATGATGAAGGTTTGGATTAGAATTGATGAAAACTTGATTGACATTTGATTTATCTTCATATTGACAATTTACATGGCACCTAGTTAATCATTTAGAGCGAGTAAATTAGTTAATTGCTAATTACAAGTTTTCATTTTGAACCGTTTTTAAGGATTGAATTTCTTGCTGAAAATTGCTCAACATTTATTTCTGATTTGAATTTTTCATTCAAGAAATTTGATTCCATCAACAGTGTTAATATTAATTACTATTGGTAATCAGGTGGAAATATGAATATTTTCACTAATCATCTATATTGTGATCAGAAAATTTAAGTTAATCACAATTGTATTGGATTAATTTTCGTTGTAATTAGTTTGATTGAATGAAAACTCTCATTTAGGAAATTGATTCAGATTAAATAAGTAAGTGTAATCAAATTAACCCAACAATGGAGTTGTAATTAAAGTTAAGGAGCTTATCGTCAATATTATTGTAACAATTTAGTTAGAAATTAGTTAATGATTAACCTAAACTTCCGGAAAGTTTGAGGTTCTATATGATTAAAGGTTATACTTTAAGTTTCTTAAGAGTTTCTAATTGTTTACAATTAACTTCTAATTGTAGACGATAATTTCTCTCATTTAAATTAGCCGATCATGGTTTTTACGATTAGTTAATTGGTCAGATTGATGGCAATGAGAATCAACGTTTTCTCAATAGTTAATAATAAATTATGATTGTTGACAAAATTTCTCAATAAATTGTGATCAACTTGAACTTTGTCGATTGATTATAATACTTAATTGTAATCGGCTAATCAATTTCCATTCTTATTGTAAATTCGTATGCTTAAAATTAACTAATTTATCTAATCTAGTGTTTAGATTATCCAATTTGTTTTACCTTCTCTAATCATTTACCTGTTAAAAATTAAGATCAAATTAAGATAATTTAAGTTCCATGATTAGTATCACCATTTAAAAGTTTCATCAACAAAATAGTAGATTAATTGTGATTGAAATGATTAACATTCTAAATCATGACAGTCGAATGAAAATTGTCATTTGATTTCAAGTTTATCTTTTTCTTTCTGTCAGTTAATTGTAAATATTAGACGAAAATTGTATCAAGTTGTCATTAATAAGAAAAAAGTTCCAACTGATTAAAGATTAAGATGATTAAATCAAAGTTAAATTAGTGTTTGGGTGGATAGAGAGAATTAATTTTCCTCCATGATTATGATAATAATAAATATCTACTATTAAATGAATGGGATGAATCAAAATCGATGTTCAAATTAATCTTTTACCTTTATTTTCATCCCAATTGATAATCATGATTAACTTTCCGTCCATTTTTAGGTGATGATTAACTTTTGTCTAATGTGATTCTTAACTTTTCAACAGGTAAACACTTTTGATTGCTCATGATTAAGGGTAACCAGCCCTTCACCTATTTGATGAACAAAAGAAACAATCAAAATGATGGTGATTAACTTTGATTATTATTCTGTTGCCATTTCATTAACCTCTCGGGGCTTTTTCACTCTCACTCTCTCTCTGCAGTTTAATGGTTCCTATTTTCAACCTACACACAAAATTTTGGACACTCAGTGGGCTACATTTACCTTTTATTTATCTCCATGCCTTTTATGGTCCAATCGTTTTTATTGTTATCATCATATTGTTGATCATGATGATTGGTTGAATATACAACATGCAATTAGAATCATCTAGTTGGTAAATTATTGATTATGTTTTCTCTTGTTGTGTAATTGTGATCCTGATGGTTAAGAGAAAGAGATTTGGTTAATCGTTTTCATTGAGTTTTCGTTTTTCATTGTTGTAAGATTTTTGAGAATCTCGAACAGTTTTGAATGGACGAGGAAAAAAATTCGAAGGTTGTTCAATTTACGCGCTTAATGACCTTTGTAAATTCTTTTCTAGGGTCAAGGGTTACAACAAACTTTTCCAACTAAAGAAGAAACTTCTCAATGAGAAATTTTCTTTTTCCTTTTCTCTCTCTCTTTCATCTTCCACTGGTTTATCTTCCTCTTTCTCTCTCTCTCTCTTCAACTTTTCTTTCATCTTTTAGAATCTTTTACTCACACATGTTTTGTCTCTTCTTCTCTTCATCATCATCATCATCATCTTTCTCTCTCTCTCGCTCTCTCTCTCTCTCTCTCTATCTTCCTTTTCATCTTCTCTTGTTACATGAATTCTCTCTGTTAATTGTGATTCTTTACTCAACTTTTTTTAAAAAAATTCTTTTTTCTCTTTTCTAAATGTTCCATCAACATGAGAATTGAACAGTTTCAATTGAAAGTTCAGTGATTATCTTTGGTGTTTTTCTCAGAAAATCTGGTTACTTGTGGAAATGAACAACAAACAACAACCAGAAAACTGAACAAGACTCAATAAGAAAACGACAACATCCCAACTTACCACAGACACTCCCGAGTACAAGTTATAGATTAAAGAGAAACCTTCAACTCTAAGGTGACAATCAATTCTAATAGTGATCATGTTCATCAATGAATTTCCCTTTCCACAATCAAAGTGTTCAATTTATTTCCAATCAGTAGACAAGGGAAACAATTAAAGTTACAGTTTAATTACAAAATTTTAGAGTAAAACAAAAGGTAAATTCAAATGATTTTCGGCTCATTTTGACTAATTGTGTTTCTTTATGTGATCAATATCATTTACTATTCCATGATAATCAATAATTCCCGAAATAGACTGTTAATCGTGTGATTTAATCAAAACGAAAGATCAACATTGAACATCCATTGATTTTTCCCACCCAACTGATTGAAATTAAATTGAATCATTTGATTGTAAACGGAAATCTCATCCTACGAATCATTAACTTTCTAATAATAATATTCTCAATGTTTCTGATTACCTTTTTAAACAATAGATTTTAATATATTCTGTAATTGGATAATGTTACCTAATAACTGATGATCTTTTCTCCTTTGGTCTTGGAATGATCTCAACAAAGAAAAACAATTCTAATTGTGGATTAGTCTAATCTACTGAGAAACAATATTAGTTGACTATTTATCTCTCACCTCATCTAAATCTTGTTTAGTTTTTGTGTTAATTGAAGTGTTAATCATAATCACCATCATCATGGCTCGATTCAAGTCCATTTCGAGATTGAAACGAGCTCTCATGGGAAAGAAACACCGAAAATCGGATACAATCGATGGAGGTGATGAAGAGAAGGAGAAAATTGTTGTTGATGAATTTCAAAATAATTCTCCAATCGATATTGATAATCCGGATGAGAACATTTTCTATAGTCAAGGATCGAATGGGACAACAATTAATCGGCCAATCAATTCACTATTACGTTCATTTAGACGTAAAATTGATGGTAGAAAGAGAAATAAAAACATTGAACCAAATATCGATTCACCTTCGACTATTGTGACCTCACCATTGTTCATGGATCAAAGTTCATCAAAATGTGACAAGTTGATTATCGATAAACCGATAATTAAAGTACCTGAGAATTTACTTGACTTTAGTCCGGTAAGTTAACCATTTACCTTTTCATTCACTAATCACATTCGATTGTAATAGATAATTAACTTTCTCACCTACTCATCAATTCATTTTCTCATCTTTTTTTCCCTAATAATTAGCAGAAAATTAAATTGAGTTTTTTTTCTTCTTTTTTCTTCTTATTACAGGACATTGACTTGGAGATTCCCTATGTAGATGAAGATGATGATGATTCTGATGATGAGGAAGATGGAGATATGGTTGATGGTTTGGTTGCAATTAAACGGTCTCCCTTATTGAAGAGAAACTATCAGCCATCTCCACCAAAAGTATCCCCTCCACCTCCACCTCCATCAAGTAATTATCATCATCATCATCATCATCCGTCATCTTTACAACCATCTAATCTGTCAAATAGATTTAATTCTGATTTTGGCTATGAACTAATCAATTTATCTAAATGTGGTTGGTACTGGGGACCAATTAGTCGCAGTGAAGCGGATTACCGATTATCCAATGCTGGTGATGGCTCATTTCTGGTCAGGGATTCATCGGATGACCATCACTTGTTGAGCTTAAGTTTCAGATCCAATGGACGGACATATCATACTCGAGTTGAACACAATAATGGACTTTTTAGTTTCACCTCGCAACCTTTACTTCCTGCCGCTTATCCGAGTGTCATCATGCTCATCAATGAATCCATGAAAAAATCTAAATCCGGTGTTTTCTGTTATTCTTGTGGACGATCACCAAATAATCAGAAAGTTCCCGTTCGACTGATTAAACCTGTATCTCGATTTAATCAGATTCCATCTTTACAATTTTTATGTCGATTTGTTATCAGAATTTTTAACTTACCCAAACTGCCACCAACTCCTAGTTTAAGATATTTTCTTAATCAAAGTCATTACCAATAATTATCGTATTTAAAAACACGGAGACAACCAAACTGCCATTAGATTAACAATTAAGGGGATATGATCAACTGTGGATTATAAATTGGAAAAGGATAATTGTGGATAATCAAGTCAAATGATAACAATAATTTTCTTTTCTCGCTTCGTACAAAACATTGATGATGATCATTAGGAAAATTTTGTGACGATATTATGTTTTACATTTGTGGATCTCTTTTTTTTTGTTTACAACAATTAATGATTAGGAAAAATGATTATGGAAAATGATTAACATTTGATCTTGATTTTTTACAATCTTTGGTTTAAAAGTGATGATCTCAAAGATCTACAACTGATTATCATGATCTTTACTCTTGTTCCTGATGAAATGGCTTTTTAATTAATTCTTTTCTCTTGCTTCTTAATTTGGATCGATTTAAATTTGATGAAGGTCGTTTACCATTGTTTCAACGAGTTGATTCATCAATTATGTCATTAATTCTTGCAACTAGACTTCTCATCATATCCAAATTGATCAATCCTAATCTTAACGATTCTCTTTCATGATCCTCGGAAATATCTGGAATAATATCAATCTTTTGTGCCTCAGTAATATTTTCATTTAGAATTTCAACTTTAAATTTATCATCAACATTTCCTTTGACTTTGAAATCTGGTTCGTCCATTTCTTGTAGTCGAGCCTTGTATTGTGCTTTCGAAATTTGTATTGCTTGCCAAATTAAATCGATGCAATCCTTTCTCAACCAATCAATTATATTCCAAATTTTGGACTCATTGATAGGATATTTATCTCTCAATAAAAGATATCTAATAAAATTCAAAAGAGTACAAATTGAATCAAAATTTTCTGCCAAATCAGTGTTAACTCCTTGAGGTAAACTCAATTCAACTGATCGTTGAATCACTTGATTTAAATTGTCAGTTAAAGTTGTCCAATCATCCTCATAAACAAACAGATCTTTATACAATAACAGCACCAAACGTTGAGATCCTTTTTCACTATCCGGATTGGAAAGTATTCTGAGTAGTAATTGACACCGAGTAGGTAACTTGAAACTATTAACGAACAACTTGAATAGAGACAATGCTGTTGACCTTTGAATCTTGTTACAACTGAATTTCATTATTTTGATTAGACAATTGTCGATAGGTGAATCTGTGAGAAGTTCAAGAAAAGTTGAGTCCAATGAACCACGAGCGAGACGTCGGAATAGCTTTACACTTAGAATGAGACCTTTATCGAAAATATTTTCTTCTTGTTGAGATAGAAGAAGATGTAAAAACGGTAAATGACGAATGAGAATATATTGAGATGAGAAAACATTTGGAAAAAAGTGAGAATTATTTGGAAAATCTTTCTCCAAACCATATCCAATGTATGAGATGATACTAACAGCATATAACATTTTACCAAAAGACAAATTCATCTCAAGAAATATTCTTTCCTGTGTCTTCATGAGGCCACGAATTGAATCAATCAGGGTGAAAAGATCTTCTTGTAAATCAGCGATCAATTTAACAATAGAATAAACAGTCAACAGGTTGAAATTAGTTTCCTTCAAATTGTTCCCATTTAAATTGGCTATTTTCAGGTAAGCATCAAGTGAAGAATCGGGTCTTTCAGATGGTCTAAGGTCAAGATAAACGAATGGATGATAAAGTAGGCCTAGTAAAACAACGGTCGCCTTTTCCCGTTCATTAATTGGTAAACCATTTTCCAACAATTGATCACTCAACAGTTTAACATTTGACCAAATCAGTTCAATGTCCATTGATTTAATCTTCTTCTCGTCTCGATATTCAAGAATGTCACTCAAATATTCCAATGGTTTCTTGGTCCCCTCCAAAGATTGATCCATGGTTAATATTGATCAAAGTGGAAAAAACAAATTAAAAGAAAACAGTTAATTGTAACAATCGGTTGATTACTAAAATCTAAACAGAGAAATTGAAAAAAAAGCTTTTCTTTTTCAAATTAAATTCTAAATTCTATTCGCGCCTTTTCGGTCAACTGTTCTTCTTACCACCAGGTGGCTTGGAGAAAAACACATTCGTCTTCCGTTTCCTTCTGTTTGTGAATTTGTGATTGAATTTTTTGGTTACAATTAAATTTTGTTTATTAGGTTAATTATTTTGATTCTCTATTAATCATGGCTGACCAGGTAAGTTAATTTAATTGTTCTTTGATTGACCTTTGAATTAATTGTGGAAAAATTTGTCTTGTTCTTTTCTTTTTTTCCTCTTGTTTAGACTGAAAGAGCTTTTCAGAAACAACCAACCATCTTCCTCAACCGAAAGCCTGGTCTTGCCAAGCAAAAGAAAAAAAAGCAAACCCTCCGGTATATTCGAGAAGTTGGTCTTGGATTCAAAGCCCCAACAGAGGTGATTAGTATTTTTGATTATTCACTTTTTTTCTCTCAATTATCATGTTATTTGTTTGGTGCTTATTTTCGAATTTTCTTTTCATTGCTTCTCATTCCAGGCTAAAGAAGGTACCTACATTGACAAGAAATGTCCATTCACTGGAAATGTTGCTATCAGAGGTAGAATTTTAAGAGGAGTGGTAATTAAAATGAAAATGCAAAGGACCATCGTTATCAGGAGAGATTACCTTCATTATGTGAAGAAATATAATCGTTTTGAAAAACGTCATAAGAACATCTCAGTTCATCTTTCACCTTGTTTCAGGTAAGCATTTATTTTCCTTTCTTTTTTCTTATTGATCTTTTCTGGTGAAAAGAAAATGATGAAAATTTTTCACGACGGTCTTCTGAAACGTTGTGTTGAGACTTCTATTAAGATTATCTGACTACTTTTATACCCTTCTTCAACTTTGTCAACTTAACCAAATTTTGTTTTCACCATTGATTAATAATTTTCTTTCCTTTTTCTTATATATTACAGAGACGTAGCTTTAGGAGATATTGTAACTGTTGGTGAATGTCGACCATTAGCGAAAACAGTTAAATTTAATGTACTGAAGGTATCAAAAGCTCCTGGTGCCAGGAAACAGTTCCAGAAGTTTTAAATGATATCTAAGTGGTTCCACAATTGTTTATATACCATCAATGAATGCAGCCCATGATTTCAACCATCTTAATCTCAGGCTCTAATCAACGGACAAATTACAAATTTTGGTGGGACACTTGCTTTAATCTTTTGTATTTGGAAGTTGACATAAATTAAACCTAATCTAATATCGACATATTTATCATCCTCTCATATACTTACGGTCATCATGTAAAATATGATTCATTTGTTTAAATGTTTTGCAAGTGATTAGATTTAAACTACCCTTTGACGAATAGACAATCTACTGAGTAAATTTAACTCTCAAATTTAACTAATCGGCTAATCAAAACAATCCACGCGCTTTTCTAACAAAATGGTTACGCTAAGTAAACATTAACTTGGATTGTTTGATATTCGTTAAGTGAGAATCTCAAGCTCGCGTTTTCGATAAAATTTCGAGAGCATAACTTAGATTGTATTAAAGAATTTCCTTGACTGTAAACTAATTCATCATGATAATAGAATTTAATATCAAGCTTAACTGAATAGATAACACGAGTTGACACGACACTTGAGGAAGAGAAAAAATAATTGCAAGTGATTGGAATATCTGTTTCACGGTGTGAAGATTTTAATTTACTATCCAAACAAACCGATCACAATTTTACATAATTGAAACATATTAGGTTGTTAAATAGAATCAATCGAGTTTTTTGAATCCAATTTGATTGGCATATTGTCGGAAACATCTACGGCAAAGGTTTAATCCATATTTACGGATGAGACCATGATGATTAGAGCAAACCCGGCAGCACCTTGATCCAGGTCCAAATTTACGAGGGTGAGACCACCAGATATTAGAATGACCCATGATTGTAAACAAGAGATTAAGATGAACTAAATTAAATTAGAACACAAAAAAAAGAGATAAACAATTAACCAGAAATTGAATTAATTTCAATCAACCAAAAAGTGAATTCAACACAAACAATCAGCGAATACAAGGAAACACTTTCGCCATCTACTTCCCATGTTACCAAGGCAACGAAAGAACAAAACAAAAAGCGGTAAACCCAAATTCTATTTCATCATGAGCCCAAATGTTTAGTTTCTCATCTGGTTCTTGTTATTTTGGCGGCTTTTCAATTCTGTCAATTTCTTTATTTAATTTAATTACAATTGTATTTCTAATTCTTATTTGCTTGATTCACATTTACTTTTAATTGTTTTTCTATCAATTTTATCATCTATTAATGTTTCTATCATTTGTGTCAAGTGAATTGAGAATATCTTCTGACTGTAACTTCTGTTTTCTCTCTTGCTCTTTTGTTTGAGAGAAAAGTGTTTTTTTTTGTTTAAGCTTTTATAATGTTGAGAAAAACAGCTCCAAGTCAGGTGATTAAGCGTCGCAGTGGTGATTTTGATGATCGACCCAATAAACGTAATAGTCGTGGAAGCAATTCTGCTAAAAAAGATGCTTCTGAAAATGATCCTGGTAAAGAAAACATTAAACACGAAGATTTGATCTCCCAAATATTGTCACAACCATTCAAAGTTCCCATCAAAGGTTATCTTGGAAGTTCTTTGAGTAAATCACTTGGTATTCGGAGAAATGGTGGTAGAAGACCTTTACACGACCCTTTTGCCGACAATGCTCTGATTCTCTATTCACCACCAGAATATAGTGAACATGATAAACTCAAGATGAAGCCTGAAGATATCGAAGTCCACGTTGTGGTTGACCCGGTTCTCGGAAGGATTTTAAGGTATTTAATCATTTTCTCTCCACATCGATTGTCCAATCATTCATTTTCTAATTGTTTTGTGTTCCATCTCTTGTCTTTCTAATCCCATCTAGACCTCATCAACGTGAGGGTGTTGCTTTTATGTATGACTGTGTCACTGGAAAGCAAATTGAAGGAAGCAACGGTTGTATCATGGCCGATGAAATGGGTTTGGGTAAAACTCTACAATGTATCACATTGATGTGGACTCTTTACGACAAGGACCAAAGGCTGAACCAATAATCAAAAACGCTATGATAGTTTGTCCAAGTAGTTTGGTACGTAATTGGTACAACGAGATAAACAAATGGTTGAATGGACGGTTAAACGCTTACGCTGTTGATAACGGTTCTAAAGAAGATGTTGACAGAAATTTGCGAATGTTCATCAATCCAAGTGGTCGACGTTGTGTGATTCCAGTTTTGATAATTTCTTATGAAACTTTTCGTCTTCATACTGATGTTCTTTACCTTGGTGAAGTGGGTTTGACCATTTGCGATGAAGGTCATCGATTGAAAAACATGGAAAATCAAACTTATACTGCCTTGAACGCTTTAAACTCTAAAAGACGTGTCCTCCTGTCGGGTACACCGATTCAAAACGATCTATTGGAATATTTCAGTTTGGTTCATTTCGTCAATCAAGGTATTCTTGGAACAGCTCAAGACTTCAAAAAGAAATACGAGAATCCAATTCTTCGTGGCCGTGATGCCGCAGCTTCAGACAAAGATAATGAACTGGGTAAAGAGAGATTGGAAGAACTAATTTCGATTGTACAAAAATGTATGATTAGACGTACCTCTGATTTACTTTCGAAATATTTACCTTCGAAAATCGAACTCATCGTTTGTTGTGGCTTTTCATCTCTACAAGAAAATCTCTACAACAAATTCATCGAATCGAAAGCTGTCTCAAACATCACCAACATGGAAGGTAAAGGAGGTGCCAATTCCTCTCTCAAAGCAATCACTTTTCTCAAGAAATTGTGTAATCATCCTGAGCTTATTCTCGATACAATTAACAAAGATCCCGGTTTCTCTAACCTTCGAAAATATTTCCCAGAAGAATTATCAAATTCTTCTGCTCGAGGTGTTCGAGTTGAACTTTCGGGTAAACTTCGAGTTGTTGATCATCTATTAGCTTTAATCAAATCAACTACTGACGATAAAGTTGTTCTTGTTTCCAATTATACACAAACAATGGACCTTTTCGAGAAACTTTGTCGCCATAGGGGTTATCAATATGTTCGTCTTGATGGAACCATGTCAATCAAGAAACGAGCCAAAGTTGTCGAAAGATTCAACGATCCCAATGGATCAGAATTTATATTCATGTTAAGTAGTAAAGCGGGAGGTTGTGGATTGAATTTAATTGGTGCCAATCGATTGGTGATGTTTGATCCTGATTGGAATCCAGCCAACGATGGTCAAGCAATGGCTCGAGTTTGGAGAGATGGACAGAGAAAAACTTGTTTCATTTATCGTTTACTTTGTACTGGAAGTATCGAGGAGAAAATATTCCAACGTCAAACTCATAAAAAAGCTTTGAGTTCTTGCGTTGTCGACAATGAAGAAGATGTCGCTCGTCATTTTAGTCTATCAGAGCTTAAAGAACTGTTTAGACTGGAAAAAGGTCATCCCAGTCACACTCATTCGAAGCTCCATTGTAAAAGGTGTGTCAATGGTGTTCAAATTAAATTACCTCCCGAAGATGCTGATTGCAATGGTGACCTTAAAGATTGGCATCATTGTTATGAAAAGAAAAATATTCCCGATCAAATGCTTAAATCGGCCTGGGACAGCGGAGTTACATTTGCTTTCCATCAAAAGTCAAAGGTTATCAAAGTGGTACCTTAATTGTCCAATCGGATGGGTGATTAAGAAATAAAGAAGCTGTAAATACAACAACAATCAACAGAATTTGACAATTGACAAAAAAAATGATTCTATTTTTCCAGTTAAATTATATGTTCATTTTAAAAGGTTGTGTAATTAACTAGTTGAAATTAATTTTCTAAAATTGATTCTCTTTATTAACTCTTGTATAATGTTTATAAATCAAATTAAATCATCTACCCATTTACTAGAAAATGTTGATTAGTAATCATTCACCCAATCAATACATTGATATTTTTTGATTTGATTCATAATCAATACAAATATCATCATTAGTTATTCCTCAATTGCAGAAAAATCAAATCAATTTACATAGAAAACAATTTAGTCTACGATTCATTTAATTCATTTAATTGTGAGTGATGATAACAACTTATCATGATTGAGCTAATCTGAATGATTATCTGAGTCAACATGATGAATATTAATCGACTCTTGAAAAATCTATTAACCTTTTTTTATCCTCAAATTAACAAAATTAGGAATAAAATTTTCTCAAATATTTTAACCAAAAATCACGAGCCTCAAGATTTAATCGCTTCTTTCATGAGACTTAAATCAATCGAAAGATCGAAATTCATTATAAAAAAATCAACGACAAATAAATTTCAACGTTTCATGTGCTACTTTCTACTGATTGTTAATAATATTTTTGCCATTCGGTGGTTGATTCTTGGAATTACAAACAATGAATTCTTACTATTCATTCTTGGCGACGTTTTCGCTCAAACCAACGATCGCAAGTTCCTGAACTATTTGTGTTATTTTGGTTCTTGTCTTTTTATTGTTTTGAATTCTTTCAATATTTGGTTCAATAACTTTGTGGACAATAATTATACTCAAGTCATCGAAGACTACGTCGAGAGTATTAGAACTTCTAGAAAAGTATTCCACTTCTCGAATTATTATGAATGGCTACTTCGAACTTCTTATATCTATCAAATAAAGTTCTATGTCCTGATTAGTTACTCTGCCCTATATTTTTTCGTGTTTGCTCATTTTCTGATAGCGATTTCATTTTTTACTGATTTTCAGACTTTTCTTTTGCAATTATTTTTCATTTGTACATTTTACTATTTCATACATTTTTGTGGCTTCAGCGTTTTCTGGCTTGTACTCTGCTGCACAATGACAGTTTCATTTACCTATTATCACTTATCTTCATGCAATATAATTAATTTGAATCAATTGAAATCCTCATCTCGTCAAATTTCATTCCTCTCTGAATTACAAATGTTCAATAATTGGGTAGATTTATACAATCATCAGTTGAGGCTGCTTATCTTATTCGCTTATTCTTGCATAACATCTATCATGGTTTTCGTCGCTTATTATGGTTCACAATACGACTTCGAAAACATTTGGTTGAATGTCCTTTTTCAAGCATCGAGTATCTTTGCTTTAGTGGCCATCACGATATTTTGTTACGTTTCTTCCTCTATTTCTCGAGCAGTTTGTACCATTTTTCTATCTCATAATATCTACTAGTTATTCTACTACATGTACATGTATATTGTATTTTCAAAATATAATCTTTCTTTTTTTATTCACAGGGATACAGAACTTATTTGATGATTTACTCATTATCCAAATGTAAAACCAATGACATTTCGTTAATGTTAAAGGTAATTAAGGTTAAATCTCTCTTCGTACTCGATGATCATTTCTGATTAACCAAAGTTTTTATTTAGAGACTCGAAGTTTTGGATCGATTCTCATATCGTAAGATTGGCTTGTATTTAAATGAAACCACTTTGATATGTAACCATTCCTCGATTATTGTAAGTAGCCTAGAAGGTCAATCTAATGGTCGAACTACATAGATTTGTTTTTGAAATTTTTTACTTCTTTTCTCGATTTTCAGTTCGGATTAGAATGTGTTGGATTATATTTACTCATGTATTCGAATTTGGGCAGAATAAATAATAGAATTGATCAATAGAATACATAAAATCTCTGGGTACCAGGCCAAAACCCGTCATTGTCCATAGACTCTTCGTGAAATTCAATCTGGTGAAAATTTTTTCGTTTCTTGTCCGATTTTGAATCAAAGGGTCTTAAATTGATTATAATAACATAAACTATTAATTTAACAATCAAATCAAAAGAAAACCTCTGTCAATTGTGGTGGAGGTGAACAATAAATTTTATCGAATATTGTTGATCGTCTATTGGATTTTTGTTTTTTCAACATAATTTGATTATTCATTTCTCGTTCGCCACAATTTTAACTTTACTCTATTCATCAACATTTTAATTCACATACATTGTAAATAATGTTAACAATTCATACTCGCCTTAACTTTGGCCTCAATACTAAACTTTCTCTGTTGACATAATACTCCATAGATAGATAACTTTTATTACTACAGTGGGTAGTGCGTGAAATTAAGTGGTGATTAGTTAATCAAATAATAAAAAAATGATCGAGTTTTCTCGTAAATTGTATTAATTATATATTTATATACATGTATGTATGTATTGTATAATATTATTAAATTTTTTAATTTTATTATTCAAATCTCTTTCAATATTTTATGTTACCTAACAATTAATACTTTGTACTGGAAGTAACGAAGAGACTTATACTGCCTTGAACGCTTTAAACTCTAAAAGACGTGTCCTCCTGTCGGGTACACCGATTCAAAACGATCTATTGGAATATTTCAGTTTGGTTCATTTCGTCAATCAAGGTATTCTTGGAACAGCTCAAGACTTCAAAAAGAAATACGAGAATCCAATTCTTCGTGGCCGTGATGCCGCAGCTTCAGATAAAGATAATGAACTGGGTAAAGAGAGATTGGAAGAACTAATTTCGATTGTACAAAAGTGTATGATTAGACGTACCTCTGATTTACTTTCGAAATATTTACCTTCGAAAATCGAACTCATCGTTTGTTGTGGCTTTTCATCTTTACAAGAAAATCTCTACAACAAATTCATCGAATCGAAGTGAAGAAGATGTCGCTCGTCATTTTAGTCTATCAGAGCTTAAAGAGCTGTTTAGACTGGAAAAAGGTCATCCCAGTCACACTCATTCGAAGCTCCATTGTAAAAGGTGTGTCAATGGTGTTCAAATTAAATTACCTCCCGAAGATGCTGATTGTAATGGTGACCTTAAAGATTGGCATCATTGTTATGAAAAGAAAAATATTCCCGATCAAATGCTTAAATCGGCCTGGGACAGCGGTGTTACATTTGCTTTCCATCAAAAGTCAAAGGTTATCAAAGTGGTACCTTAATTGTCCAATCGGATGGATGATTAAGAAATAAAGAAGCTGTAAATACAACAACAATCAACAGAATATGACAATTGACGAAAAAAATGATTCTATTTTTCCAGTTAAATTATTGTATATGTTCATTTTAAAAGGTTGTGTAATTAACTAGTTGAAATTGATTTTCTAAAATTGATTCTCTTTATTAACTCTTGTATAATGTTGATTAGTAATCATTTACTCAATCAATACACTGATATTTTTTCTGATTTGAATCAATCAATACAAATATCATCATTAGTTAGCCCTACACACTACTTTTACAAATCAAATCAATTTACATAAAAAACAATTTAGTCTACGATTCATTTAATTCATTTACAATCTAAGTGATGATAATAACTTATCATGGTTGAGCTAATCTGATAGATTACCTGAGACAGTCAACACGATGAATATCAATCGGCGTCTGAAAAATTTACTAATCTTTTTTTATATTAAAGTGATTAAAATAGTTGATGAAATCTCCTGGAATATATTGAATAAGAATCACGAGCCTCAAGATTTAATCGCTTCTTTCATGAGACTTGAATCAATCGAAAGATCGAAATTCATTATAAAAAAATCAACGACAAATAAATTTCAACGTTTCATGTGCTACTTTCTACTGATTGTTAATAATATTTTCGCCATTCGATGGCTGGTTCTCGGACTTACGAACAATGAATCTTTACGATTCATTCTTGGCGACGTTTTCACCCAATTCAGTGAACGAAAATTTCTAAATTACTTTGCTTTTTTTGCTTCTTATCTTCCTATTGTTTTGAATTCATGCAATATTTGGCTGAATAATTTTGTGGACATTAATTTCACTCAAGTGATTGAAGTCTACGTCGAGAGTATTAGAACTTCTAGAAAAGTATTCCACTTCTCGAATTATTATGAATGGCTACTTCGAACTTTTTATATCTATCAAATAAGATTCTATGTCATGATTAGTTACTTTACCTCGCTTTTAATCCCCTTTGCTCATTTTCTAATAGCGATTTCATTTTTTACCGATTTTCAGGCTTTTCTCTTGCAATTATTTTTCATTTGTATATTTTACTATTTCATACATTTAACCATCTTCAGTGGTTTTGGGGTTCTACTCTACGGATTAATGGCAGTTTCATTTGCCTATTGTCAATTATCTTCATATATTGTCATGAATATGAATCAATTGGAATCTTCATATCGTCAATTATCATTTCTCTGAATTTCAAAAGCTCAACAATTGGATGGATACATTTAATCATCAGATAAAGTGGATTGTTTTGTTCAGTTATTCTTATTTAACCTTTATCATCGTTTTAGTCTCTTATTATAGTTCACAACACAATTTCGAAAACATTTGGCTTAATATCCTTTTCCGCATATCGAGCACCTTAACTTCATTGGCCATCGCAACATTTTGTTACTTTCTTTCGACTATTTCTCAAAAAGTTAGCACCACTATTCTAAAATTAATAGTAAAATTAATCTTGGGTTTTTCATTCACAGGGAAACAGAATCTATTTGATGATTTACTCATTATCGAAAAATAAAACCAATGACATTTCGTTAATGTTAAAGGTAAATCTCTCTTCTTATTTTGATTATCATTTCTGATTAACCAAAGTTTTTATTTAGAGACTCGAAGTTTTGGATCGATTCTCATATCGTAAGATTGGCTTGTATTTTAATGAAACAGTTTTGATATGTAATTATTTCTCGATTATTGTAAGTACTTGAGTACATACGTAATAATATGTCAATCTAATTGTCGAACTATTTCTTTTGAAACTCTTTTTCTTCTCGATTTTCAGTTGTTATTGGAATGTGTTGGATTATATTTACTCATGTATTCGAATTTAAACAGAACAAATAATAGAATTGACCAATAAAATATATCAAATTACAAAATTTCGTTCTGTCCGATTCTAAGAAATTGTAGCA